CTGTCCAATGTGATTGAGCACTGCTATTGTGAACACATGGCGCTGGTAGGGTTGGCATGTGGGAGCACAACAAAGAACAGCATAATGGGCTTGATTGGCATTGTTTGCATTGCAGGTCTTGATTTTCTGTTCATATGCTTCTCTTACCTAAAAATTTTCTCTGAAGTTTTCAAAACAGGATCAGGTAAATCTTGTCAAAAGGCGATGCACACCTGTATTACCCATTTAATAGTCCTTGTTGCATCATATACTTTAGCTCTGTGCTCTTTCATTGCATACAGGTTTGGGAAATCAATTCCTCCTGATGTACACAATCTCATCAGTGTGATGTATATTATTTTTCCATCTTGTTTCAATCCAGTAATCTATGGTGTCAGAACAAAAGAAATTAGAGATCAGATTCTGAGAACAGTGAGGTGGACAAAATCAGATGTAATTTCCTCTAAAGTAGCATCTATAACACAATAAACATAATGTAATCCAAATGTTCATACTGTGTCTTGCAAGCTTTGTTCATGAGGAATTAGACAATTATGTTGCTTTAGAACCCATTGAAAGAAACATTTAATATTTAATTAAAAGATTATTGATTGTCTCAAGGATTTTCAATCTTAATGTTGTGATTTCATTATCCTGATAGAAAGCAAAACCAGATATGACAAAAAATCGAACATTATATCTATATTCTCTAACCCGGAATCCTCTTTAAAGAGTACTGTGAAAACTGTAATTTTTCTCCCAATATATACAGTATATTCATCAGTAATAATGCGTTAATATAATACTTTTTGAAAGCAACAACTCATGACATTGAAGCTCTACAAATAGTAATTATACATGTACATTGTATTTTTTTTATTTGTGTACATTTCGTGGATTGATTTGATTGACACATTGTAGCTTGTGTAGAATACACACAAAGAAATTAATGTGCCGTCAATCTACAAATTAGTAAATGCAGAAAATGACAGAAAATATTAATTTGGATTGAATTAAGCCTGTTGCAGAATATCTGCTTTTTAACATGTAACACCAATATTTTCCTTTAACTGTGACCAACGAAGTTGTACTATAGAAATGTAAAAATCTAAACAAAAAAGAGATGATAAAAAATCTCCAGAGGTCTAATGATTCAACTCAGGAAGTCTTGAGTTGTTTTTCGTATTGACTCGGTTAGATCCGGAGGCAACAGCTGTGTAGTTCAATTAGCAATATTATAAATGACAAACCCAATACATTTTATATATATTTTTAACACTTATACCTTGGAATCCACCGAATGGCAGAATTTACAATAGATATCCTAATCAAGAATTATCCCAAGAATCATGCTAAAAGATTGGGATTGGGGGAAGTAAAACATAAAATTACATACTTCACTCCATTAATTTCAACACCCAAGTATTTGAGATAATAACCCAGATTCTCTTTTTTGCTCTGGTTTCTCAACCACATGTAGAAGGAGACTTACAATTCCATAGCGTTTCTAGACAAAACAAGCAAAAAAGAATCAGCTTTTACTGCAGCTTTTATTATACGGTATCAGCACTGTCAGGTTTGCTTATTTGTTGTATTAGTTATGCAATACTGTTGATATATTCTTATTAATTAAGAAGCAGAAATACAGTGCAACTCAGGGGATTATGAAAGGCATTTAAGGTTGTGTCCTGACAGTACAAGTTAAAGCACGCACATTTAAGAGCAAGGGGCTTTACATATATTCTGTGAGTATTAAGGCTTTAAGACAAAGAATAACGTTTTTACAATGGGATCTTTTTATTTAGGGAAAAGCATACAAAACAAAAGTCTTAAAGAGCTGTTCAAATAATCTGTATTGGAATACCTAATGCAAATATATTCTAGCACTAATTTTCTAATGTCTTATTGTCTTACAATTTGAAAACTCCAAATCAATATAGAACTTAAGTGCTTTTTTAATGCTTAAAATTGCATAAAATATTTTTTTTTCATAATATCTTCCATTGCACAGATGGATTGTGATGAAAGCTAGTAGCACTGAATTGAGCATGCAGGGACCCTTGGAAGGAAACACATCTCACACAGACTTCATTTTCAAAGGATTCCCGGGATTTTTCCAACATCGGCGCTTCCTGTCCATCCCCTTCTTAATAATGTTTGTTGTGGCTACAGTTGGAAACTCTGTGTTAATTTCTGTACTTAAAAGAGGATCAGGGCTACAGTCGCCCATGTACATTTTAATTGGTGCCTTAGCAGTGGTGGACCTGACTCTGCCAGTGCTATTTGTGCCCAAAATGCTGTTGAACTTTCTGTTTGACTGGAACAGCATTTCGTTGCCGGGTTGCCTGGTACAGATGTTCTTCATTCACATGCTCGCCTCACTGGAGTCTGCTATCCTTCTGGTAATGGCTATAGATCGATATGTTGCCATATGCAACCCATTACGGTACAACGACTACATCAACATGTCAACTTTCCTGAAAGTGTCCATCGCTGTTGTCATTAGAAATGGCCTTTTTATTTCTCTCATTGTCATCCAGGCTGGCTCACTCTCCTTTTGCCTGTCCAATGTTATTGAGCACTGCTATTGTGAACACATGGTGCTGGTAAATTTGGCCTGTGGAAACACAACACAGAACAGTATAATAGGCCTGCTTGCTATTATTTGCATTTTAGGTTCAGACCTCATGTTCATCTGTTATTCCTATTGCACAATTTTCTGTACTGTTTTGAAGGCAGCATCAGGCAAATCTCGGCAAAAAGCAGTTCACACATGTGGTACTCATTTAATTGTCATTCTTTTGTCATACAGTTTAGCGATAGGGTCTTTCCTTGTGTACCGGTTCAGAGATGTGGTTTCTCCTGATGTTCACAATTTGATGAGTGTGATGTACGTTATCTTTCCCTCTTGTTTCAATCCAGTTATCTATGGTGTGAGAACAAAGGAGATAAGAGAAGAGATTCTGAAAACAGTGAAAAGGAAGAAATCTAATTTTATTTCATTTGCAGTAGTAAGCATAAATTGATGAAAACATTATAAAAGTAATTTAATTATGTTAATTATTATGAATGAATAAAGTTGTGGTATGTTGTGCAGCTGTAAAACTGAATAAAAATTACATTTTTATTATTGTTTGACAAAGCACTGTGAAAGGGAAGTTTAGCACAGGTTTGCCAATGCAATAACTGCATAATTTGCTTTCTTCCATACAGACTGCTTAAACACACCATATGGGTTAGTAATACTTTGAAAGTCTGCAGGAATAAAGAACAACAAACACAACTGGGTCTCTTTATTTTGTCTCACATCAAACACCTCTGCAGCTTGTGGAGTGTCCTGCAATGCCATTTTTACTATTGAAGAAGCAAGTCAAGGCAATTATCAGTTTGGCAACTTAATTTAATTTCAACATTTTAAAAATAATCTCAACAAAACAGCCATTTTATAACCGACATTAACAAAATTAATGTTAGCGGCATTAATAAACATGAAGGACTTAATTAGTAATCACTCTTGAAACCAATGTTGAAATCTCCAGAAAAATCTATGACCTATAAAAAAAAACTATATGGTCAATTATCATAGACATTGTAATATTCTCTCTAGAATTAGTTTCTTTTTAGTATCTTTACCTGATAAAGTTTTTCTAGGATCCTGGACTGTGCTGTCTGTATACTGTATATACCTACATCCACTAAAAATGTGTGATGTAATGAGCAATGTCTTTGTCCTTTTGATTATTCATTATATAATAGCCATTATAATAGTAGCTATAATACAAGCTATAATAGAAGCTAAAAGAAAAACAACATTCAAAGTGTCTCATATTATATTATTATATTATATGTACAAAAATCGAAAGTATTCTTCCTTTGAAACCATGTAATTGTTTTGCCATTGTATAGATACAATGTTTTGTACGATATTGTTTCTTGTATATTGAAGCCTTCTTTATTTTGCATCATATTTCATTATATTCAGAGTTTTGTTCCATAATACTTCCATGTTTCAGATTACATCAAAGACAGGAATAATTCATGTTTTGCGAGGAATGATTGCATGTAAATCAAAACACAATTGGAATATTTTATCTATTTCGAAAGACCTGTAAAAGTCAAACCTTTGTAAAAAAAAATTCTTAAATTTTAAAAATAATATACATAAGCAATATACTGTAAAACAGTGTCAATGAATGTTGCATAGCCAGTGTTAAGTGGACACATCTCCTGTATAATATTATTATTCCAGTAGTTGTTTTTTTATTTTTACCAGTATGATTGTACTATAGTCATGTCATGTACTTTTCATGCACGGATTTTGTTGTGAATTTGGAATAGTTTGCCACTTTCAGAACGTTAGGTTCATATTTAGCAAGAAGCTTTTTTTAAAAAATAATAGGATTCCATACATTTCAATAATAAACATACTTTTGTTTCTTTTGAATAAATGGAGATAGCAAGAGAAGGTTGTCGTCTCACAGTGATATGCTGAAGATTCCTACAGAACATCAGATACATTCTTGTTAGTTAATATACTATAGTTTAATATACAATAGCTTTTTAATAATAGCTTATAACAACTTAACATCTTACATAAGTTAACATATGTCAGACAAGCATGGGCAACTGAAATCTCAACATGAAGTAGGCATGTGTTGACAGATTGGAGCTCTAACAAGAAAAACCTGATGTCTCTGATACTGACAGATCCAACTTTGAGTTATCTGGACACTGTCCTGTTACTAATTAGTGAGAGTGAGTTTGCTGACTCACTAATTTGAGAAAATCTTCCTGCACACATCATTAATTATCTCAACAGAACGTGGTCCCTCGGGTGTTATGGTTTTAGAGGACAAAGGATAGCCTAGACAACATAATTAGCTGATGAAGCTTTTGTGCCACACACACAAAAGCAGATGTACTGTACACATTGCCTTCAAACTGCACTAACAAAGACACATGTACTGTAGAATTCTGTTAATTTAAGGTGACTAGCTATGGGCATATACTTTCTGATTCAGAAAATGTATCTATATTTATTTAAATTTATCTATAGCCAGCTCAGAAAAACCTACAAATTATGTTGTATGGGTTCTTCAAAATATAAGAAATTACACTGATTTGCCAAAGTCATGCCCTGAGTAGCTAAATCATAGTCACTGTCAGTGTGTAGAAAATTTCAATCCTGTGTGCCAGGTATACCAATACCACATTATGCCCACAACCAAAAGTGCATATAAATCTCATGGAGAGGTTCCTCCACAATTGAGATTCTTACACAATTTCCCTCCAGAAGACAGAATGTTTGTACTGTAGGTTTGCTTTACAAGGTTTGTTCTGTTCCTGAAGTACAAGGGGTCCAAGCTTGAATTTATCTACAGATCATTAATTTCACTCTCTGTATCAAAGTCCCAGATCAGAGACTGATTTTCTTTTAGTTCTGGTCATTATTATAAAAAAACAAAAATTCTCTGACACAACATGGTCATTAATTAATACTATATATATGCATATAGAAAGAAACTGTCTTTATTAACCATGAATATGAAATAGAAATCAATATATGAGAGCACTTCATCTTCTTTGATGTTTTGATTCCCTGTAGATTAATACAGAAAGTATTCCTGTCAATATTTTGTAGAACACATTTCTACATGAGCAACAACAGAAATCTACTACTGAGATCAATTTTCCTCCTGCATGTCTAGTCCGTGCCTTCATTTGCTAATTAGATACATACTGTACCATGAACGTTTGAGAATAAAACAAGCAGAAACGTGAAATATTGAAAAGCCATTAAAGCAAAGCATGTGATTTAATAATATTTATAATTGCTTACACTTATACAGTATAGCGCTTTTCTGGACACTCCACAGTTAATGGGGATCCCCTCCACCACCACCAATGTGCAACATCCACCTGGATGATGCAACGGCAGCCATAGTGCGCCAGAACATCACCACACATCAGCTATCAGTGGGGAGGAAAGCAGAGTGATGAAGCCAGTTCATAGATGCGGATTATTAGGATTGGTAAGGGCCAAAGGGAAATTTTGCCAGGATGCCAGGATTACACCCCTACTCTTTTCAAGAACCCTGGGATTTTTGATGACCACAGAGAGTCAGGACCTCAGTTTTACATCTCATCCGAAGGACAGCGCCTGTTTACATTACATCGTCCCCATCATTAGGACACACATGGACCACAGGGTGAGCACCCCCTGCTGGCCCCACTAACACCTCTTCCAGCAGCAACCTTAGTTTTTCCTAGGTGGTCTCTCATCCAGGTAGTGGCCAGGCTCATACCTGCTTAGCTTCAGTGGGTTGTCAGTTGTGAGTTGCAGGGCGATATGGCTGCTGGATTTATTGTTTTGATGCAAAACGTATGGGGATAGACTGATGATTTGTCATTCTCAGGAGCAAAATCAAACAACAAACCCAAGGGAAAAAGGAAAAGTAATAAAAGTGCGATGCAGTACAGTGTAGGTTAGAGTAAAGCCAATGGAAGACAGTGAAGGAAGCTTTCCAGTCAGAACACTGTGAGTATTATCAGCAGTGACAAATATAAAGTGTATCTTTGATTTACTTTTATCTCTAACTAGCAGTGTTACAAACGGTTCTACAGAATGTTTTTGCTGTTCAAATGAAGAATCAAAGTCGTTTCTCTGCTACAGTGGGAATAATTGTAATATAAAATGTAACATAGACAATTTCCAAGGCTATCAATGTATTGGTTTGGATATTTTAGTTTTTTTTACTACAGATGTGATGTTTGCAGGTGTTTTAAGTTAATTTTAGAATAGTTAAACAGAACTAATGAAACAGTTACATACAGTAATCACACTATTACGGAAACCTCTATTTATTTAACTAGATTGCTAACAGTTTCTATTTTGCAGGGACCGAATGGTGGACAACAGGAGCACTGGAGTGAACTTGCAGGGACATGTAACTGGAAACATATCCCATACAAATTTCATTTTAATAGGATTTCCAGGATTTTATGAGCACAGGAGATTTCTGTCTATCCCTTTCTTTTTCATGTTTTTTGTAGCTGTTGTTGGAAACTCCACCATCATTTTTGTCATTAAAACTGGATCCACCTTACACGCACCTATGTATGTTTTGATAAGTTGCTTAGCAACAGTGAATCTTATTTTACCTTTGCTTTTTGTTCCAAAAGTGCTGTTTAGTTTCTTGTTTGACTTGAATGAAATCTCCTTATTAGGTTGCCTATTACAAATGTTTTTCATTCATTTTATAAATTCATTTGGATCGACTGTTCTAATGGTTATGGCGTTGGATCGATATGTCGCCATATGTAACCCCTTACGATACAATGACTACATTAACAAGTCCACTTTCTTTAAACTGTCTGTTGCCGCTCTCTTTAGAAATGGCATTTTAGTTTCTCTCATTGTCATCCTAGCTGGGTCTCTCTCCTTTTGTCTGTCCAATGTGATTGAGCACTGCTATTGCGAACACATGGTTCTAGTTGGGTTGGCTTGTGGAAGCACAGCAAAGAACAGTATAATAGGCTTGCTTGCTATTGTTTGTATTCCAGGTCTTGATTTTCTGTTCATATGCTTCTCCTACCTTAACATTTTCTTTGTAGTCTTCAAGGCTGCATCAGGTAAATCATTCCAAAAGGGGATGCACACCTGTGGTACTCATGTAATAGTCATCTTTGTGTCTTATATCTTAGCATTGTGCTCTTTTCTTGCGTATAGGTTTGGGAAATCACTTCCTGCTGATATTCACAATCTGATCAGTGTGATGTACGTTATCTTTCCCTGTTGCTTCAATCCAGTTATCTATGGCGCCAGAACAAAGGAGATAAGAGATCAGATTCTGAAAACACTGGGGTTGAGAAAATCAAATGTTATTTCTACTAAAGTAGACACTATAACACAGTAAATATATATGATATAGAAAAGGAAAATATTTGTGTATAATCTAGTTTTGAAAGTCAAGTCTTCAAATCTTTGCTTGTGTTGAAATAGTCAGTTCTGTTGCTTTAGAGCCTTCTTTGAGAATAGCTTTATACAAAATTGTGTTGAAAGATTATTGATTCTCCCAAGGATGTTTTCATTTAATTATTTTGGTACTAGGCAAACCAAAATATACCAGAATTGAAAAGTTCATCTTAAAACCTATTTCCTAAAGCCTGTATTCAGTATATAAGACTATTGTGCAAAGTGTAATTTTTCTCCTAATCAGTGTACTGTATATACCACTTCTATTACAGGTTAATAAAGAATCTCTTAACAGGAACAGTTTGTGAGTTTCCATACCTAACTATTGTAGTTATTATATGTGTTTTTTTCATGTATTAATATTTTGTTCTTAATGTGTTTGACACACCGTTGCTTGTGCAGAATATATCTGTAGTACACTAACAGTAAAAGCCTGTTGCTGAATATCTGCTGTTTAATGATGAAGATAAATACATCTTCTTTATCTATGACCAATGTCGTGTTATAGTACCATGATATTCAGAACATAAATGAGCTGAAAAAAAAAACCTTACAGGCAGCAGGGCGTAAGGCTTTGCAGTGAAGCCCAGGATGTCCTGTGAAGTTTTGGAAACCTAATTTTGTTCGTTATAAAACAGGCAGTTGAAGAGTTGAATTAGCAATGTTATTATGGTCATGCCTATAAAACGTAAAGATTTTTAACAATTACTGTATATCTACGTGTAGGCTCACCCAATTTTGACTTCTGCAGAAGATTTAAAACCTGACCAGCATAATGAGGACAGACATCTCACACAGGTTACATTATAGTTTTTATTTAATCAGTGCCTTAGCTGTGGTGGATCTAAGTCTTTCAGTGGTATTTGTGCCTAACTTCTGTTTGACACATTCAACATTTTGTCGAGGGGTTGCCTAATGTTCTTGCCTGATGAACAGATGTTCTTCATCATTCACATGCTTGAGTGTGCCATCCTTCTGGTGATAGCTATAAATTGATATGTTGACATATGCAACCTGTTACAATACAACGGCTAGATTAACATGTCAACTTTTCTGAAAGTGTCTATAGCTGCTGCCATAGGAAACAGCAGTATTTTTTCTTTTTTTAATTGTCATCCAGACTGGCTCTCTTTTAGCCTCTCCAGTATTATTGGCTACTGTTATTATGAACACATGGCCTGTGAAACCACAGCAAAGAGCAACATAATGGACTTGCTTGCTGTTGGCTGAGGTAGGGGCTCTGTGGCCAAGGATCTGCGCCTGTGACTGGAAGGTTGCTGACTCAAATCCCCGCTGGGCCCCTGAGCAAGGCCCTTAACCCTAACTGCTCCAGGGGCGCTGTACAATGGCAAGCCCTGCGCTCTGACCCCAAGCTTCTCTCTCCCTGTCTGTGTCTCTGTGTCTCCATGGAGAAAAGCCGGGGTATGTGAAAAGATGAATTCCTAATGCAAGAAATTGTATAGGGCTAATAAAGAAACATTAACATTATGGCATGTATGGTATAGGTTAGATATGGACCCCATGTCCATCTTTTATTAGTATTTTGTCATTTGTGCAGTCTTAAAGACAGCATCAAGCAAAAAAAGACACTTCTGCAGCTCTCTCAGTGTCGGTGAGCTTGTAGTGCGTCTGCTGTCTCTGTTTCTGCCTGTATGAAGGAGCCCATCAATTATCAATCTGGCAGGTCTGAAAAACTGTAAATAAAAAATCATACATTTCTCAACATCATTAATGTAGTGTTTAAAAATGTAGTGGCATAAACATGATGAATTTAACTACTAAACATAGGAAATCTTGAAATATAATAATAAATCCATATTTACGTGACTAGCACCCTCTACAGATGTGATGGCTGAACTGTGCAATTTGTAGTCCATGAGCAGTGATATACTTTTTAATACTTAGTGTGGAATACATTTCTTCTCTGCAATTTTTCCCTTTTAAAGTTTTCCTAGGATCCTGAACAGTGTTGTCTGTATATACACATTACCTGCACTAACAATTTGTGCTGTAAAAAGCAATTTCACCATACTTTATACATTATTTAAAGACAAAAGAGGAGCAAGAGTTTACACTCCTTGTAAAATAATCAATGTGGTAATAATATCACCTGAATAATATCTGATTTTGTTCTTAATACGATAATTGTATTTTATTTATGAATAGTGTAATTATATTTTATATTTTAATTATATGAATATTAAATACAATTTTTGCTATTTTAATTCCATTACAAGTTTAGTACATTACAAACTGTAACAATTGCATTCTTATCTTGTTTAAGCGTTGTGCTGTAACTGGTCAGTAAGCAAAAATAATAAAAAAAAAACAGAGGAGGCCCTTTGGTCCATATAAATCAGTTGGTTTGATAGGTGCCCCAAACACTACTGAAACAGAACTGAAATATAAAGCATTTCTTATGTTTCGGAAAGATATATTTTTTAAGGGAATCCTAAAGACTTGCAGGTATTTCAATAGAGCATTAGGGTAAAAAGTTGCAAATAAAAAATAGGGTACTGTATATCTAGTATCCTAATGTTTATGGCCAATGCTGTTAATATACTGTACCTTATTTATGTAAAATAAACATGGGCATCTGAAAATAGAAATATAGGACTGTGTTGACAGACTGGAGCTTTAACAAAACAAACTCAGACAGATCCACCTTTACGTGGGCAATGAAAACTGTCCTGCTACTAATTAGTGAGCCAGCTTGCTTTCTGAGAAAATAAAAGAGTCCTGCACACATCATTAATTATCTCAGCAGAATGTGGTCCCTCAGGTAGTCTGGTTTTAGAGGACAAAGGATAGCCTAGACAATGTAATTAGCAGATTAAGCCATTCTGCCACTCCCTACACAAACAAATGCAGATGCACATACAGTACAGGTATAGCCTTCAAAATGCAGTAACAAAGACACAATTGAAACTTTATGAATTGGGGCTGTGATCCAAATCCAAGTTCTAGCTATAAAGTTAGTCATTTAATCAAAAAATGGTTGTAATTGGTAAATTCATTAAATAGTGCTTTCCTTGAAGTAAAAAAGAAAGGTGATTTGTTTGTGTTAATGATTACCTAGTGTACTGTATAACCCCCTTACACATTCTACAGTTTATTTTGTAAAAAGCATTAGAAATGACAATGATTTGACAAAGTACAGTATGCAAGCTTACCCATGTGACTGGCTGAAATGTACTGTAAATGTCTTTCATAAAATGTCAAAATGTATAGTACATATTTTCCAGCTGAAAAACAGACAGCAACAATAGCTCTCCTTTCATCTACAGAACATTTGCTGGATGGTGGATATCTTAATATACTGCACATACAGAGCCACAGGAACCATATATCAGTTTGCTTAATGTAGCCTTTGAAACCAGATGGCTGTTATTTCCTTGCCTTAGCATCCTGAACCAAGATCAAAACAATGCAGGAGGTAATGGATTTTCCTAAAGTGTACATACAGGGATGAAATGATTAGAGTAAATGGAGGAACATAATTCTTTAAATTTAGAGAGCTCTGGGAAATTCTGGAATCTTAATGGACCACATGTTTTTTTTTTTCCATTTGCAACCTTACTTACAGTATGTTCTTAAGATTGGCCCAGGATGCATTTTGATTTTGCCTTCTAAATTATTTCTCCTTTTTTATTCTTCCTTTATTCTCTGTGTGTACAGTCATATTTCTTCCTGCCTCACACATACTGTAGCACTTACTACATACTGTAATATCCACAGTGTGTGCAAGCATTAAAATTACATTACCAGTATATGAATTTCAAGAGAGTTTGGCATGTAACACACAACATGAGTACATAAAAATCACATGTTGAATTTTCCTTTAATCAGAATTCTCACCTTTTTCTCTTTAAGCTATGGGAGTGAAATAGTGCCAGATGCACTTTTTTTATCAATTACAGGCAGATTGTACACTGCTCTGTCAGAGGAGGTCAGAAACCCTTTCAAGAATGTAAGTCAGCAGTTCAGTTTTTGCCAAGTTCCAGTCATTTTTTTTCTAAAAAAAGAACATCTCAGGGTTCCCATCAGCAATGTTGATATTGTCAATCACTGGGATTTGAGCAGATGGGAATCAAAATTGCATACTGTAGTGATGGGATGGTTTAATTTATACAATATACAGTATTATATGATTTACTAATACAGCAAAAGAACATGCATAGTAAACCAACAAGAGTAATATTATATACAAGAATCAATCTGCCTTGATGCAAATTTCTTATCAGTCTTTCAGGGACAAAAACACAACTTACCTTCAGGGTTAAACATACATTAATTATAAAATGTGTTATGGTCTGCCAAGTATATTAAATCAGCCTCACACACACGTCATCCAGAGCTTCTTATTCTTAAAGACAAGTAAAACCTCAATCAAGAATATCAATCTTTTATTCATCTGAACGTGGTGGCTAAGAAATTCAATCAGCAGTTTTAAAAATTCCTGTGCAGAGATGGAGGCGGGCTGGTTTTGTAACAGGTGTCCAATCTCCTGCAGCTGGCTCAGTGCTCAGGGATGTCCCAAGGAGCAGAGAGAGGAAGAGCATTGCTTAGACTCATTGCCAAAGACAGCTTCTTGGGAACAAATCCCTGTTTACTGTGGTGCTAGCTGGGCTGGGCTTTCTAACAGCTTGTGCACAGAGTTTGGCTCAGGAGCAGTTAAGTTATGCAGACACAGAGAATAGATGTAGCTCTATTACGGAATGTGCTTTGATGTACAGGCTGCTGAAAAAAGATCCAATTGTGTCGAATCAAATTGATCATTTACAAGTGACTAGCTCAACATAAGATTTTATTTGTGTAGAGAAAATCCTGGGCATAATTATGGTTACATACCGACTCACTCTCTCTCTCTCTCTTGGCTTCGTGTCTTGAAATAAAGTTCCTTTATTGGATGTTGCAGTGACATGGCTAATTCTTCAGCCAAGTTTCACATGATAGACTGGGGTAGAGAAAGTGAGTAAACATGATATTACAATGGAACAAGTAATAGGTTTATTCCATGCTGAAAAAAAGAAGAAAGAGAACACAACATTCTGACCATGGAGCCTTCTTCAGGTGTGAAACCTCACACCTGAAGAAGGCTCCACGGCAGAAACGTCGTGTTCTCTTTCTTCTTTTTTTCTGAATGGAATAAACCTACTGTATTATTGTTCCTTTGCAGCCTTTGCATGCTGACACGGCTACCCACCTGAACATGATTTTACAATACCTTTTAGAAGCCAGCTATTACAGCTGGTAATTGGTTGTGATGTCATTAGGTTTAGTGCTCCACTCCACTCAGTTCCTCATTGGTTGATCATCTCTTGTGATTGACTATGACCTGCAGCTACAGCCATCTTACCTAATGTGATGGTCTGTGTGTCTGCAGACACTGAGATACCTGAACAGTAATCACTAGAAGTATCGAAGTGGCCCCAATTTATGATCTCCTGGTTTGTGTTAAAAGCTCCGGACATGCGGCATATTGTTCAAATTAGTTATTGTTTATTCAAGGTCACAGAAAGATTATTTATATAGCCCTATCACTATAATGTTAAGTGGACTCATCCATTCATTATACTGTATGTATAATGAAGTGGACTTCCTGCACCATTTAGAGTATATGAAATATAACTTACCAGATAAGGGTTAAAAAGTGCTGTCTACAGTGTTATTTCCAGTAGATTAATATAGAAAATATTTCTGGAACACACTTTTTTCTGTAGGAACGACATTATCCTTGAACAGCTCAGACTGAGATGGGTTGTCTTCCTGTATGCCTAAGAATCCATGAATTATTTAATTTCTCAACATCTAAAGCAACAATGCATTTTCTCAGTAACAAATATTCCATCAACTTTCAAAACTTTATTAGGTTGTAAGTGAACTAAGGCTGCTTATTAGGTAGGTACCATGATTGTTTGATTTAAGAGTTATGGGAAGCGGATGATAATTTGTCCTTAATTAACAAGCAGAAACGAGGACTGCAAGCCCAAGGGGAATAGAAAAAGCCTTTTTAAAGAGGCTACATACAAAGTGAGTAAAAGAACAACAAGAGTCAATGTAAAAGACAACGAAGGACGAGTTCCACCCATAAAACTGTGAGTATTATCAGATTTGTGCAGGGAAGAGAGTGTCCTTTTAATACAGTAGGTCCATCTTTATACAGCCTTGTATCTAACAGGTCTAGGGAGTTAAAACACATAACAGCTCTATAGAAAGGTTTATCTTCTTTAGCTGCAAGGTAAGACTTCAGAATTCAATTATGCTTTCTGGCCTGAGGTAGGAATTGTTTAAAGTCATCAATGCTATTGATTCTTAGGTCTGGATTCCCATGTTCCTAATTTATTTTTATGTGTAGTTTGCAAACGTTTTGGTAACATTTTAGTTAAAGCAATAAGTGTTAAGCTTTTATTATGCAGTTGTTATTTAGTGCAAAAGCTTACAGTGAATCATGTACAATCATCAAGTAATAGTGTCTTAGGTACTGTACATATTATGATAGCTGTCAGGTTTTTACATACTGTATGCAAACATAGCCTTCATTTCAGAATAGGTTTAGCAAAAATTTCTATTAATCACTTACATGATTCTGCAAAATTCTTATATAAAGGAAAAGTAACCTTACTTCAAAATATGGGCAACTAAACTCTTAATTCATTGCCAATAGACTCCTTCTAATATATTTATTAGAAAACAAGTCCAGCTCTATGTGTGGTGCAATATCCATTATTTTTCTGCTCTATTACCAAAATGTTAATAACCTATAATCATTATATGTTAAAGTCAATTTAAAACTGAACAGGAGACACCTATTTATTGTGATAGTACGAAAAAGAGTACCCATTCCTGTTGTTGAAGCTGATACTCTGACTTTCTTTACGACAGCTGAAAGACATCCTTGCATCAAGAACTAACCATCAGACAAGCTGGAGGGGCCACTTATGTTCTTATATTACAGTATGTACGAGCAGCTAATAAGGTATAACATAGACAAGAGCAGTCTTTATTACAGTCCAGGCAGCGCAAATCCTTTCTTAGCATCTTAGATCTCTTAGATCTGATTTCTTAGATCTGAGAATCTGTGTAATGAGAATCTAACAAGTTCAAACCTCACATAAAGTTTCCCTTTTGCAGTGACCATATGGTGGAAGATAGAATTTCTGGAGTGAATATGCAAGGACATGCAGCAGAGAATACATCTCATACGGATTTCATTTTAATAGGATTCCCTGGCTTTTATGAGAACAGGAGATTTCTGTCCATCCCTTTCATTATAATGCTTATTGTCGCTGTCATTGGAAACTCAACTATAATTTTCATAATTAAAACTGGATCTGGTTTGCATTCACCTATGTATGTTTTAATTGGTGCCATAGCAATTGTTGATCTGAGTTTACCAATGCTGTTCATCCCAAAAATGCTGTTGAACTTTTTGTTTGACTTGAATGAAATCTCCTTATTAGGCTGTCTGGTACAAATGTTTTTCATTCATTTCGTAAGCTCATTCGAATCCACCATTCTCCTGGTGATGGCGTTGGATCGATATGTCGCCATCTGCAACCCGTTACGATACAATGACTACATTAACAAGTCCACTTTCCTTAAGCTGTCTGTTGCTGCCCTCATAAGAAGTGGCATTTTAATTTCTCTCATTGTCATCCTAGCTGGGTCTCTCTCCTATTGTCTGTCCAATGTGATTGAGCACTGCTATTGTGAACACATGGCGCTGGTAGGGTTGGCTTGTGAGAGCACAACAAAGAACAGCATAATGGGCTTGCTTGTTGTCTTTTGTATTCCAGGTCTTGACCTGCTGTTCATATTCTTTTCTTACCTTAAAATTTTCTCTGTTGTCTTCAAAGCAGCATCAGGTAAATCTTGCCATAAGGCAATGCACACCTGCGGGACTCACTTAATAGTCATTCTTGTATCATATACCTTAGCCATGTGCTCCTTTATAGCATATAGGTTTGGGAAATCAGTTCCTCCTGATGTTCATGTTCTGATCAGTGTGATATATGTTATCTTTCCCTGTTGCTTCAATCCAGTTATTTACGGTGTCAGAACAAAAGAGATACGAGATCAGATTCTGAAAACAATGCTAAAGACCAAATCCAATGTAATTTCAATCAATGTAGCAAGTATAACGAAGTAATTATGTAATAAGAAAAAAATCACCCATAAAATAGTATTACTCATGAAATACAGTTTTTTCCCTAAAAATGCTTTGTATATTATTATAAGAGTGATGTTGCCTGGGTTTCAAATGTTTCTATTTAATTGATTTTTGTTTTGATTTTTTAAGGAAAAAAACAACTAAAATAAATCTGGAACCTCCAACTTAAGCCTTAGTTCTAAAATCTGAATCTGAATTTAAAGTAGAAAACTAAACAATCAATAATTTGTATCTCATGATCAGTGTTTTTATCAGTTCTGAGACAGGCTTATTAAAAATCTTCCAATAGCAGTATATGCTTTTCTAATATAAGTCACCCTAACCTGATTAATCACATTATCCTGTACAGTTCTCATATAGAATATCTACTGTTAATTAATAAAGATTCTGTTAACTGTTATTAATATATTTAGTTACTACAGTTACATTCATATGAATGCAGTACTCAGATAAAAATTCTCAATGAATCGAAGTACTTAATATTCCTCTAAAACCATATTAATCCAACAAGATTTCCCAGGGGAGTTGCATTTTCATGTCATGAAGGGAAGAAAACTGCTATATAAGGGTGGATGCGTGAGGTTTTGGTTTGTTTCATAGATTTCTACTGCTCTTAAGAAACCGTATAAGGAATTTCATGTGGAAGACTGACACTTCTGGTAGCCCAGCTGCATTTACATCTCAGCTCAAGAGATGCAGTGATAGAAACACAAATAAACAGGACAGTTTTTGGTTTTATTGTCAGTTCAACATACTGTAGCAGGTTTCGTCAGTAAAGCCTTCTGAGGTTTGAAGAAGGCCCCACATCTGAACTCTTGTGTTCTCTAACATCCCAGTTTTTACTTTTCAGCATTTAATTAATCTCTTTTTAGTCCCTTTTTAGCTTTGCAGCTTCCACAGCTTTGCCTTCTGAGCCCTATTGTTGTGAGAATATTTGTTAAGATGGGCAATTGTGTATGTTGCTTACTTGGGTTCCTGTGGGCTCTGCAACAGTTGTAGTCCTAGTGGAATAGCATGCACTCATTCCCCACAGTCACAGGAAATTGGACCCCAGTGTCCTGGTCAATTTTCTCTTTGGACTTTACCAATCATGGCCTCCTAAGGATCACCATCTATGAACTGGCTTCATCACAAAGATGTGTGGTGAGCATACAGGCACACTTTGGCTGCCATCGCATCATCCAGGTGGGGCTGCACATTGGTGGTGGTGAAGGGGAGTCGCCATTACCCTATACAACGTTTTGACGTGTGTGCTGGCACATCACACAGAAGATTGTGCAGTAAATTAAAGGGTGAAACAATAGTTAAATAATCAAAAAGCTTAAATGTTTGGAGTGATATAATTTAAAAATCACATGGTAAAATATACACCCATACTTCTGAGGCCGATCTCTGTGTTTTGTATATTCATGGATATTGTGACTTCCGGTGTGGATACTGCTACTGGAAGGAGGATATTCAAATTAAATCCAAAAAGTTATATTTTCACATTTATTTTAATGCAAACAATAGGGGATCTTTTCTAATACTTCAAACAATAAACCTAAAGGGTTAGGACACAGGGCAGCAATTGGATGCAATTTGTATGAGGGGGAGTTTGGAAGGAGCTTAGGGATAATGATCTCAGGCATCACCATTAATACCCCTGGTGAAATCTCAGGCTCTGGAATCTCCTGTTTATACCTACTATACTGTATTTACAAGGATGTGAAAATACTGATACCTATTGTAAAAAACTTACAGTGTCTGATATAAACCTACCATGCGACATTGATTTGGTCTTGTTGTGTGAATTAACTGCCAAAATAAAGGGGAACATATGTTGACTTTTGCAGACTCTGATTAGAAAAATCTATGTTAAATATTTAAAGCCAAGTATGACTTTACCTGTGGTGTGTTGAATCTACAACAACAACAAAAATTAATGAAAGGCATCACACATCTTAATCTTAGCATGCATTTGCTATGTAAAGGGGTAACAAATTATGTAAAGTACAAATAAGCATTTCCTTAATTTTTTATCACATAATTTTAAATTATTTCCTGCTCGATTTACTTAAGGCAGAGTACAGTATGCCATTTTGATGCATCCAGTGCTTATGACATCTACAAAAGAGGCCACTCTTTTAATGTTCCATTTTATTTTAAGGTTCAACAGAGATAGGTACAATTTTTCCATAATGAAGTATATTCAGCATCTGTTCTCTTATCTCTTTTGTTCTGATACCGTAAATAATTGGATGGAAACAGCTGGGGAAGAGAAGATACATGATACTTATTAGGACATGAACATCAGGATGGAGGGAGTTCTTAATCCTGTATGCAAGAAATGCTGTCATGGCAAAGATATAAGACACGCTTATGACCATTAATTGAGTTCCACAAGTGTGGATTGCTTTCTGGCGGGATTTTCCTGAGGCTGTATTTGAAACAGCCAAGAAAATTTTGATGTATGAAATGGCGATGAACACACCATCAACAATGGCTACACAGAATACTGCAAGCAGCCCCATTACACTGTTCCTGGCTGTGTTTCCACAAGCCAAACTTACAAGAGCCATGTGCTCACAAAAGCAATGATCAATGACATTCGTCAAGCAAAATGAAAGTGAACCAGCTAGAATAACAACAACCAGAACCAAAGACCCATTTCTCAGAAGAGCTATGGCAGATAGTTTGAAGAAAGCAGAGCTATTTATGTAGTCATTATAGCGCAGTGGAATACATATGGCGACATAACGATCCAGAGCCATCCAGAGGAGAACAGTGGATTGGAACGAACCGAAAAAATGAACAAAGAACATTTGAACCAAACAGCCTAGCAGAGAAATTTTATTCCAGTCAAACAAAAAACCAAGTAGCATTTTAGGGACAAATAAAATGGGTAAAGTCAGGTCTACACATGCTGTAGCACATATGAACATATACATGGGAGAATGTAAAGTCCTTCGTGTTTTAATAGAGATAATAAGAAGTGAGTTACCAAACAATGACAACAGGAAAAGCAGTAGGAAAGGGATGAAAAGGAATTGTCTGTGCCCTTTAAGCCCTGAAAACCCCATTAAAATAAACTCCTTGTGAGACACATTTCCTTCTTGATATTCTTGCATGTTCACTTCCAGAGATGGAATATGAATACCACATTCACCTAGAAAACATTCATGAACCATTAATTTACATTGAAAGCACAAAATGAACATTATCTGAAAGTCAAGCTTTTCATTTCAATGCTTAAAATTTTCTTAGGAAAACATAATTGCCACCATGGCATGATCATGCACTGTATGTGGAAAATTTGAATGTTTTAATGTTAATTTCAGATTCTGCCTTAAATGTCATCCCTTTACTTTTGTTATAACCAATAATACATCAGTTCATAGTTTAAAGGAATGTAAAAATTGCATAAAAATGCAAAAGACTAGTCTAGGTGAATTCCATTGACATCAATTAATATTTTAATTCAATGAATATTGTTTTAAATTATTACATCAATAAGTTTAAGTATACCATGCCACAGCAACAGTATTAATTTTACAGTGCAAAATACCTAAATTATAATTCACAAACTTTTGGAGGGAATTATAGGTTTCAGATATATCAACACATAATTTCACAAAATATTTATATAAACCATTTTATGTTGCAACTACACATCAATAGATCACTGCTGTATTTAAACCTTTATTGCCATGTGCACTGTTTAACCATCCAAAGCTGTGCTGCTAATACAATATTTTGCAATTTTCATATCAACGTTTTTAATTAAAATTAAATGACACCTTGAACAAAAGATAGCAAGAACATTTTTTATATACAGTATACAAGTACTATTTATCCTATTCTTAAGGTATAGCCATAAAATAGGAAATGTGACATCCATAAGATTTACCACACAAGAAAAAAGATAACACGAACTCACTATTGCAACAGGGAATCCTCACTTCGCTCCCTGTATGTTGTGTTTTAATTACTTTCTAACAGCAGCACATCTTAAATCTCTTTCCCTATTCCCTTGATAGAATTCTGTTTATGACCGTTTATTTCTACTTAATTAAAGGATACTGATCTGCTATGAAGTATAGGTATAACTACTCCAAATGCAGCTTACTATTTGTCAGGCTCAAGACCCTGTACCAACAGTATATATGCATATACAGTATATCTAATATCCCTTTACCACATTATAAATTTGGACTCATTGCTTTTTTTACAGTTTTCTCAAGCATAACATACCCATAGTACCTTGTATAATCTAATTGTGAGTCTTATTTTAGTAAAGATTCCCTTTGGGTACTTTGTCCTTTTAAAATGCCTTCTCAAGGCTCGTATCACAGATATACCTTCACTTTCAGTGTATCACTTTTAAAACATGAATTAATAAGCTCAACTGTTCTACACTTTAGTATGACAACACCCCAAACTCACCATATTATTTTTAAAATGCATCTTTAGACATGACCAGTAAAATACTTGTGTAGGTACTTAATAGAAGTTAGGAAGGAAACAAATTTTAATCTTGCACTAATCTGCCCACAACACTGTGCACACCTTTTCTAGCTTTTGGTGTTTCAGTTTCAGACCATACCTTTGTAAGCCAGGGCCAGAGCTGCTGTTTTTGACTTTTCTCAAAGAAGCAGCATTTCAACCTCCGTGTGACCATCCTCCGTTGTTTCTCTACCTGTCATGCTGCCTGCTCTTTTCTTTCAGGCTTTCCACCCCACCTGTCTCTCTTCTCCTGATCCCACCAATTCCATTCTCTCGCTCACCCTTTTTTCTGCCTCATTGTTCAGTGATGGGACCTACCACTTAATTTACTCTTCCTTACCCTCTCCACTCCATCAATGTCCAACTGGTGTGGTGTTGGCCCTCGAATCTTTCTCATCCCCAAGTTTCCATCAGTGAATGTTGCTGATATTTCCCCTTCTTTTGGGCGTTCCAATAAGAATCCGTCCTTAATCCATTAGTTTCTAGAAAACTTCAGCAGTTGATAACTGTTATTCCATTCCTAATTCTGTGTAAGATCAGTTAAGACTACTCTTCTGTGTCATGACAGTATCTTCCACTGCCCACCACAGAGTTCGAAACACATGCGAGCTAAGTTTCACTGGCTAATTACCACCTGTACGCTGACTTGTGTTCCATTACCTTCATCATAAGGGCTTCTCAATGTCTTCATTCTCTATCGGTGCTACTCCAAAACATATCCAAATCTCCATTACCTATTTAATCTATTTTATTTATTCAACACAATCCAAATGTACTTGATCACACAAACCAAATGCCTGCGTCATTTTACTCTTTTTGTTCATTCCACACTATGGGCATACATTCTACTTGCTTCCTGTGAAACTATTCAGCCGAACTGATTCACTTTAAGCTCCACATTAGTGTTTTGGGAATCCTTTTTCAGGTTCTGATCTTGATCTCCTGCCAGTGCTTTCATTTCTTAGCCAGGCAAGGTAATGCAAAAGTATCGCTCTGTATTTGTTTGCTCATTTATCACAATTAGAATCTAACCGAACTGAAATCAAAATATGTCAGTGCAAATTCAATATAAATTTAAGTGACTGAAACCCTACCACTGGATCACTGGGTAAGACAGTTACAGTAAATGTGGTTCCCTGTCTGGCACAGGAATGCAGGCCCTGTGTATGTGGCTGAAAAAGTTAAAAGACAGAAGAGTCTGGAGGGGTTGGTTGTTGTTTAACACCCACAGAAGTCTCCTAAAAAGCACACACCAGACCTCTACTGCTAATTAGCAGGGGACAGAAAACTATTTGAAGTACAGTATACCGTAGTGTCATCTTTCGCTTCAGGAGTCATGATACTCTGCTCTCAGCATAAGCCTCTAAACGCTCCAGAAATTAATGTAGTACTATTTTTTACCCTTACTGATAACCAGGAATGTAATTTAAATCCCCCCCAAAAATTAGGACTGATTTTCACAATTGAATAATGTAAAATGTCATAAAAGGGGGTTTTATATTTAAAATGTATATTTATATTAAAGGGGGATTTATATTATATTTATACTAGACTCGTTAGTGGTCAACCATTTAACTAAGCATTTTTAATGGTTCATGCACAATTACACTACAGTTACAGGCATTTTAATTTATTCAGATAAGACTGCTAAAAAAACAAAGGTTTTTAAAGCATTTTAGAGTTTGCACTCCTTATAACAGTTGTTCTCACACCCCAGTAAATCAAATGTATTCAGAAAAGAAAAGAATTGAATGGAAGATTAGATGTGCTGAAAGGGAAATCCTTGGTTCTTACTGTAGGTTTCCATGTATGTCATTTTTAAATTCTCCAGATTTGCTTTGCAAATTTGTTAAAAGCTAATTTTTTAATCAGCTTTATTGCTGTGTATTCGAACTGTTTATATTGAAATTTTGTCTGCAATATATCGGCTGGCATTTTCATAAGCGTCTTGATATGAATGTTTGACAGCTCAGGTCTTTTTTGTTTGTGCTGGTAGAGTAGTTGGATCAATACCATCTCAGCTGCAAAGACGTGATTCAAAGACAAGTAAAACAAAAAATATTTTACTCCAGTCTAAGTTACCTGCTTTTAGAAAATCACTTTCATGTAAATTTCTGAAGCATAATATTTTTTAAAGACATTCAGCTAATGCTTTGATAAGGGAGCCTGAAAGTTAGCACACAATCTTTTTAATTGTTAAACTTCATGATTAAAAAATTCATGATTTGTACAGCTCCTTGGCTTAGAATGCGTAAAACATTAGTACAGTACGTGTTAAATGAGTCAACTATACACATCGTTAGAACACTAGAGAATTGATAGTAGAATACAGTAGCTTTGCTTTTATTTTGACTTTGTTTATTTTCTTACCACAAGAAAAGCTGAATTTACAACCCTCTGACTCTGTGTCTTGGGTTCTACAATGTTCTTATCATATTAAGTTTCCTTAAATATATAAAAAAAAAACATTCAAACCAAAAAAACACGGGCTCTACTAGGTGTTGTGCAGTTTAAAGAAAGTAGTTCCCATGGGGAGTCTGTCACTGCACTGGGCACCTGAGTGCAGAAAGGAGAGCTGAGATGCTGCACAAGCTTAGCAGTGCAAACAGAAACACAACCAGCAGGTGAGTGACAATAAGGACGTTTGCATGAATTGATTGTACCAAGAAGTACCAAGAAGGAAGTAGAAAATGGTAACATTAGAACCTGAAATCTGAGGAAAGTACCAGTGTTTAATTATTCAGAATCTCTCAGTCGTGGAGAGAATTCTTGAAGTAAATAAGGGTAAGTGAGTAGCAACCTCATCCAGAAGGATAAGGTGAAAGGCATGACCAATACCATGCACTGGATGCCAATGCGCACACACACACAAACACACATATACACAGACATGGACTAATTAGGGACAGAAACTGACCTACAGTAGCCAGCATGTCTTTGAAAGATTGGTGGAAACTGGAAATTCTGGAAAATCCCACACAAATATAGTATATCCTGTATACACCTCAAAGAAGTCCCATTGCTTAATTGATCTAAGGACCAAGAACTCTACAGGGCTGTGTTGAACTTGCCATTTTACTTCAAGGCTGCTAAAACTGGTATATTAAATAATCTTAAATCAAAATAAAGTTGGCCCTTTTTAGTAGCACAAACGAAAAGGCTCCATTTGAAGTTTCTTTAAATATTTGAGCACAAACTGATTAAAAGTGCATCACACAGCATTCATATGGAATGATGTCATGAAATTTACAGAACATGTAAATATAATTACAATTGTAGTCCCAAGGTTTTCAGGTTCATTATTATATTATTTTGACAGTTTAATCGATGATGGAGCAGCTCTTCTGAAATATTTTCAGAATCTGTTCTTTTATTTCTTTTGTTCTGATACCATAAATTAAAGGATTAAAAAAGCTGGGGAAAAGAAGATACATTATACTTAACAGGACACGGATGTCAGTAGACATTGAACTCTTAATCCTGTAAGCCAGCAATGGCATCATAGTAAAGACATAAGATGTGCCTATGACTATAAGATGGGTGCCACAAGTGTGGATGGCTTTTTGACGAGACTTTCCTGAAGCCATTTTTGAAACTACAAAGAAAATTTTGACGTAGGAGATTACTATGAACACAACGTCAATACTTGGTATGCAGAAGACTGCAATCAATCCCACAATGCTGTTCCTGGTCGTATCGCCACAAGCCAAGTTCACCAGAGCCATGTGCTCACAAAAGCAATGATCAATAACATTTGATAAGCAAAAGTTCAGACGACTAGCTAAGATGACTATAATCAAAACAAATGAGCCATTTCTCAAAACAGCAGCCACAAAGAGTTTAAAAATGGTGGAGTTATTCATGTAGTCACTGTAGCGCAGAGGAATACATATGGCAACATAACGGTCCAAGGACATCCAGAGCAGAATAGTGGACTGGAACGAGCATACAAAATATGTGAAAAACATTTGAAGCAGGCAACCAGACAGAGAAATTTCATTCCAGTCAAATAAAAAGCCGAGTAACATTTTAGGAACAATAATTATTGGCACACTAAGATCTACACATGCAATGGCAGCTATCAAAACATACATAGGAGAGTGTAAACTTCTCTGTGTTTTGATAATGAAAATCAGCAGGGTGTTGCCCACAAGAGAAGACACCAGTGTCAGGAAGAAAGGAATAAACAGTAATCGCCTGTGTTCCTTAAGTCCAGTAAATGCATTAAAAACAAATTCTGTATGAGAATTATTTACAGTTCGGTATTCTGCCATATGGAAATCTTCTTTGAAGTGAGACCTGGAAAAAAAAAATAAGTTATGATCACCTTATTATACACCAGCAATTTGTTGTTTGTTGTCATTCTTTTTTGTGTGTGTTTTTAAAGATGACTCTAAAAACCTACAGTAGAGTTGAATGACTGCTTAAAACCAGTGATTGGATTTTTTTGTTTTTGGATTTGATTACTTATCACACGGATAAAAAGCTGATAATATTCTTTACTCATTGGTTATATTGTTTTACACTTATGTTACACATTCAGTGGAAAGAATGGTTGCCAACAATAAAAAAAACCAAATCACAATTTCAAGTATGTGTCCTGTTTCGTGAGAACAAATTGCTGTTATATTTAGATTTAATATTTCAAAATAAAAATGATAAATAAGTCTGCAAACTCTTTTAGGCTTTCTTCCTCCTTTTATTATTATTCCTGGTATAAACAGTGCAATAAAAACTTTGAGTTTGCTAAAAATGTGTTTCATGCTATTTTAGTTTTACAGATGAAAATGGTGTCATTCGGAAGATGTGCATCGTATATAAGATTTATAAGTTGAAGATAAAAACCAACAAATAAAAAGAACACATACAAATTTGTTTCATCAACTGCATTTTGTACATGTGAAAACAATCATACTAATAAGAGTAACTGCAACAAGAGGTAATACTATTTACAGTAATAAGATAACTCACAAATGTAAGCCGTACTCCTCTGTTTTGCTATCATCCATTTCTTCTTAAAATTCCACTTATATCAGTTTTGAATTCCCACAGTAATGTGGTCATGTTTGCTTCTTAATTAGAGGCTGGGTTGTTTAGTCTTGCAGTATATAGTGATGAAGGTAATCATTTCAGTGGACCCTGAGGATGAAACAGGTTACCAAGGCATGAGCCCCAGGCACAGTGTGAAAGGAAAATAATGAACTCAGCTGATAAACAGTACTGGGGCAGACATAAGACACTGACGAAGGTCACCGTTGTTTACTCCTACATCAGCCCAGAGCCTGAGCAGACCCCCCTCCCCCTCTTGGGTATTAAAGCTAAAGATGACACAATGGAGTCTCTCTGGTCATGAAAGAACCTGCCTTTAGTTCTGTAAAGAAACCCCACTTACACTGTCATTCACACACCACAAGCCACACAACACTACCTGATCCACAGTCTCAGTGTCTCACAGGTCCTGGTCTGGTCAGGCAACAGCTACCAATTTAATAAAAGGGTCAGTTTACTCACTGCACATCAACAGGCCCAGTGCCAATCGTTTTAAAATGTCACATTCACAATGTAACATTACCATGTGAAATTGAGAACAACTAATGAAAGTTATCAAGTTGATTCTAGTTGTACCGAGCACAGTTACAGGGTAACTATAATTAATTGTATGATAAGACGTGATTAATCGGTGACCATCTTGGATTTCTACAATTAGCCTTCTGTGATTCTAGGTGGCATAACAGTTGGTTTATTTATGAGGCCGCTCACAATGAGTACACAGAGTAACAATCACTCTAGGTGATCAAACAAAACAAAACATACTCATTACTTTGGAGCCTTGTGATAAAAAAAATCTATTCATTTCTTTAGTGTGCCTGAGAAATGTAAGTGAATCCCTTTCTCACATCTAAAGGGCTAAATGGTTACTTTTTCCATTCCTAAAACGAACAAATCTGCTGCCTTTAAGAATGTCCCCAAGTCCACTTGTTCAGGGGAGTCCTCTTGCCTTCTCTCAGTTCAAGAGAGACTGGTCTCCCTCCTGCCAGACCTGCTCTCCCAAGAATACAAAGACTGTTTGAGTGTCACACCTTCTCACTCTGAGGCAAACTCATAATGTAGACAGACAACTGATGGCCTTATGAGAAGTGTTCTGCCAGAAACTGTAGAACCTACCAAGACTAAACAATAAAGCTGCAAAGAATATAGCAATTATTATTAACTTTGCTGGCACTTCTATCAGGGGTCACTTACAGAGCTTACAGTTATCTATTTTTTACATACAAACATTTGGACCCATTTCTACAATAATCAGTTCCCATTTCTACAGCAATATGGATGAAGAACTGTACTCAATGTTATATCAGTAGTGCCCAAAACTGGTGTGTCAGTCAATGACCCTCAGGAGTCTAGTGCTCTACCCACTACTCCTCTCTGCACAGGTTTGTGGGTCATGAGCATGCCTGTTCCTTTCCTCAAGTGCTGTCACAACTGCTACAAATTGGTTTATCTAAAGTTCATAGCAATAACACTGTTTAAATGTTTAAACATGTAATTCTGAGTTTTGCTAGACGAATCATGATGTTCTTGCTTCTTGTACTGTATTAGTTATTTTTTTTGTATTTGTATCTTGATTTTTAATATTAAGACTTTTTTATACTATACACTGTGCATACAGTACATTGGCTACAAAGGAACAAGTAAAGAACAATTCCACGTTGAAAAATCTAAAGGAAAAACACCATGTTTCGTCAGTAGAGTCTTCATCAGCTGTGAATACTAGACTGTACTACAGTATGCTCGGCTTGTTTCAGTAAAGCCACATTGTTCAATGATACAAACAACAAATCTGTAGTTTTTAGCACAGAGGTGAAAGAGAGCGTTGCCACTGTATAATGGACATAAACAGATGTAAGATTAGTATTTATTCTTGAGACAAGAACCCAGAAAAATGGACAGGGGAAACCCCAATTATTAGAGGGCTGTTATTTTAACATGAAACTGTGAATGTCACCTTTGAACAGTTTAATATGTATATATTTTGAAATTTGAAAGAGGTTGATGTATTGTCAAATTGCTTACCTGTCTGCCTCATATGGATTAAAGGAAGTGAGTTCAAAGACCCAGGTAAGAAAAGGTATCTGGGCCTTAAATCAAGAATATCGAGACAGCTGAGAATAAGTGTATTAAAATCATGAAACCTGTTGGCCTTCAGGTAAGTTTACAGTACGGTTTCTTGTGCTTATTTAATCTGACAATTATTTTTCGATTATATGTATTTTGCTTGTTAATAGTTTTGTGAGTCCTACATCAGTTTTCACCTTTGTTCCCAACATCCTGCTGCTTTTTTTAAATAAATGACCACAACTCGTTTTGTTGTTCATCTGTTTCTGAAAAATGTCTTATGGGTGACTTTGCCACTGGTCCATACTGCCCAAAAAACGTATGGTACAGCATGCTCATGTGAAAAATTCACATAATAGAGAAATAGACTCCGCAATGTACAGTATTAAAAAAACAAAACATGTGGGGTCTAAAACTACAACTCGAAAGCAGCTTCTTGTAGAACATGGAGAACTTGCTTCATAAAATAAATGATAATGTAACTTTTAAAAAGACAAGGTGAATACTGTAGGTGAGTGAAAAAGAAAGAAAAAAGTTAAGTAGTGTGTGTCAAAACTACATCTTGTATTTTTTCTTTTCAATCTACAAGTTTGAGAGAAAAATTGTAAGGTCTTAGTCATATGAACATTTCCTGAATTTAAAGTACAGACAAGTGATCTACAAAAGCTGTTAGAAGTAACTTTGACTAAGTAAAATATAAGTCATTTTGTATGGTATGTCAGCCGGACTAGTACTCTGTTATATCACTACAAATAAATATACAGTGAAAACTAAGTCAAATTTTCACATGGTGATACGGTATTTTAGTTTATTAAAACCTTGAAATAAAAGATTAAAATGTTTATTGTACAAGCATGCAGTACAGTATTTATCTTATTTCATTGATGACTTCAATACCATACTAACCTATAAATGTCTTGTTCTATATTGCAATGTGCTTGATGTTTAAATGCAAATTATTTCATTACGCAAAAATAACTAAAACCATTATAGACCTACAGCTATCACACTCATTAACCCATTACTTTGACAGTTCAAAAGTTACTGGAGCAAGTCTTCCACGTTGAAATATTTTCAGAATCTGTACTTTTATTTCTTTTGTCCTGACACCATACACGATAGGGTTAAAAAAACTGGGAAAAAGCAGATACATTATACTTAACAGGACACGGACATCAGTGGGAATTGAATTCTTAATTCTATAAGCCAATAATGGCATCATAGTAAAGACATAACATGTGCCGATGACTATAAGATGTGTGCCACATGTGTGGATGGCTTTTTGGTGGGATGTTCCTGAAGCTGTTTTCAAAACCACACAGAATATTTTGATGTAGGAGAGAACAATGAACACAAAGTCAATGCTTGGCATGCACAAGATTGCAATCAATCCCACAAGGCTGTTTCTGGTCGTATCGCCACAAGCCAAGTTCACCAGAGCCATGTGCTCACAAAAACAGTGATTGATAACATTGGATGAGCAAAAATTCAGTGGACTAGCTAGAACAACAATAAGCAAAATTAGCAAACCATTTCTCAAAAGACCTGCCATGAATAGTTTAAATATGGTGGAGTTATTCATGTAATCATTGTAGCGCAGAGGAATACATATGGCAACATAACGGTCCAAGGACATCCAGAGCAGAATAGTGGACTGGAAAGAGCTTATGAAATATATAAAAAACATTTGAACCAAACACCCAGACAGAGAAATTTCATTCCAGTCAAATAAAAAGCCGAGTAACATTTTAGGAACAAACACTATTGGCACACTAAGATCTACACACGCAATGGCAGCTATCAAAACATACATAGGAGAGTGTAAACTTCTCTGTGTTTTGATAATGAAAATCAGCAGGGTGTTGCCCACAAGAGAAGACACCAGTGTCAGGAAGAAAGGGATAAACAGTAATCGCCTGTGTTCTTTAAGGCCAGTAAATGCAAGAAATACAAATTCGGTGTGAGAATTATTTTGGTTCTGATATTCCGCCATGTAGAACTTTCTTTGGAATTTGTACTGTAAGTATCCTGTAAGAATAAAAAAAAAGATATGATTTTAATATTGAACATTGCACAATTGCATCTTATTGTTAGTCTTGATTGCCTTTAATTATGACTCTCCAGTCTTCAGATGTTTGTATAGCTGTTTCCTGATCCAGACTGCCGTGGACAGTTGCAATTGACATGTACAGTACAGTACAAATAGTTGATAATATGCTTCTCATTGGTTATATTCCTAACAATTTGCAAAAATACTTGCTAATCTGCTCAGCACATAACTGATTCACAAATAAAAGTATTTGTGCTGTTCCATGAGTACAAAGAGAGATTAATTTTACATCAATTTTGTAAAAATACACACATTTATTATTTTTAAACAAATGCATCTATAAAACTTAAAGTATTTTTTATTCATTTTGTTATTATTTGTGCGATAAGCAGTGTAATAAAATTTATTTTGTTGATATTGCAATGAATATGTACAATGCACTGCTTTAGGTTTACAGATAAAAAAAAAAATTGTTCTGCCGATGTAGTGTACATCTTAAATAGGCTTTGTAAGTGACAGACAAAAAACAAAGTTAAAAAGAAGACATAATAGTTTTTGTGCATCTGAAAACATACTTACAAAGATAGCTGAAATAAGTAATGAATGATAAATGTCAAGGCTATTTAAAGTTAGAAGATAACTCACAATTCCAAATGCAAGCTGTGCTCCTCTCTTCATCTCTTCATAAAGCTCCTCTTAAATCACTTTTTAATTCCCTGAGTGATATTATATTAAAGAGGCGGTTATGTTTGCCTTTTAATTAGAGGCTGGGCTGTTTAGTCTTGCAGTATATGGTAAAGAAAGTAATCATTTCAGTGGGCTCTGAGGATGAAACAGGTTACCAAGGCTAGCAGTCCTTCTCTGGGCTCCAGGCACAGTGTGAAAGGAAAGCAATGAACTCTGCTACTAAACAGAGCGCTGGAGCGGACAGAGACACAATGAAGGTCACCCTTGTATACTCTTACTCCAGCTCAGAGCCCGAGCAGACCCCCCCTCTTTCCATGCACCCTCTATGGTTTTAAAGCAAAAGATGACACGCTGGGTTCTCTCTGGCCATGACATAATGTGCCTTTATTTCTTACCCTACTTGTGTCACTACCTGAGTCTCAATGTCTCACAGGTCCTGACCTGAGCAGGCAGCAGTTAAAAATTTAATTAAAGGCCAGTGTATTCACTGCAGATCAATGGGACTAATGCAGGTAATGTTTTTCAAATCTATTGTGATTCCACCAGGAGCGCCGTACTCAATGTGAGGTGCTTTAGTAAGAGTGTCATAGATTTCACTGAAACTTTTGATTGCATTGAAATGGCAGAATGGAGATACCACAATACAGGATGATGAGGTGGCATCAGAATCTGAACAAGACACAGGTGTGCTCCTACTTACAGTAAATCTAACCCAGGCATGACAGAAAATAGAAAGTACATTACAGTGCTTAATGAAGCTAAGCTGCACATGTTTATTTCAGAAGAAAAGTATAGTTCTTGCTTTGATACAAGAGATTTATGTTTTTCTACAGTGTCGCTGTGTAGTGTAACAATGAATACAAAGAGATGACACACAGGCAACCCCTGGCCATATGGGAAGTGTTCTACCAGCCAGTTTACCATCTTCTAAGACTACTGTACATAGTAAAGCTACAAAGAATACAGTAATTATTACTGACTTTGCTGACACTTCTATCCGGCATCACTTACAGAGTTCAAAATGATCTATTTTTCACATACAAACATTTGCACCCATTTCTACAGGAATGAGTTCCCATTTCTACAGCAAAGAAAACCTTACTTAAGGTTATAGCAGTAGTGCCAAGCACTGGTGTTTTAGTCAATGGCCCTCCAGGTCAGGAGTCTAGAGCCCTAACCACTACTTCTTACTGCACAGGTTTGTGGGCCATAAGCATGCACTTGGTATTCAGCCATGTAACAACTTTCTTTGGAGTTTCTCAGTGTAAAACTATAACAAAAAACATGAACATTACTTTATTAGCCCTATACAATTTCTTGCATTAGGAATTTGTCTTTTTGCATACTACAGCTTGCTCTCCATGACACACACAGACAGGGAGAGAAGCTGGGTGTCAGAGCACAGTGTCAGCCATTGTACAGCACCCTTGGAGCAGTTGGGGTTAAGGGCCTTGCTCAGGGGCCCAGTGGAGTAGGATTTCTCTGGCAGGTTTGGGATTTGAACCAGCAACTTTCCAGCCACAGATCCAGAGCCACCACACTGCCCCTTTTATTTCTTTTTTTTATAACTGGTTATAAAGTTATAAGTTTTATAATAAAGACATGATCAAACAGTAGAACATTGCACACATGCATTTTGTTGTTGATCTAGTTTTACCTTTAAATAAATGATTCTCCATTCTTCAGCTGTTCACATACTTGTATCCTGGTCCTGACTGTCTTTGAATAGGTTGCAATTGACATGTATAGATAGTTAATAATATTCCTTTCTCATTAATTATATCTTATACACGTCCTAACAAGATCTTTGCAAAAACTGCTTGCTAATCTGTACAGTGCATAAGTGATTCACAAATAAAACAAGTTGTGCTGTTTCATGAGTGCAAATAGCTATTACATTTTCATTTGTTTTGTCACAAAATAAACATTTTGTCTTTTTAAAATACATCTGTAATGCTCTTTAAGTATTTTCTATTCATTTGTTACCATTTGTAAGCAGTGGTAAGCAGTGTAACAAATGTTATTTTGGTGAATGCAATGAGTACGTACAGACCACTGCTTTGTGTTTACAGATACGTTTTTTTCTGACATTCTACAGATGTACATTTTAAATAGGCTCTGTAAGTGGATGACAAACAGAAAAACAGTTAAATACAAAACAATAGTTTTTAGGCATGTGAAAACCATAATTCGAACAAGGGTAGATGAAATAACTTACAGTATTAATAATAAATGTTAAGACTACTTAAAGTTAGGAGATAACACAATTCCAAATTCAAGCTGTGCTCTCTCTTCATTAAACTCCTCTTAAATCACTTTTAAATTCCCAGAGTGATGTTACATTTGTTTGTTTCTTAATTAGAGGTTCTATATATGGTGATGAAAGTAGTGATTTCACTGGAAACAGGTTACCAAGGCTAGCAGTCCTTCCCTGGGCCCCAGGCACAGTGTGAAAGGGAAAATAATGAACTCAGATACTAAACAGATCACTTACTAAGGTCACCCTTGTTTACTTCTACTGCAGCTCAGAGCCAGAGCAGAACACCACCCCCCTTCCATACAAGCTCTTGGGTATTAAAGTGAAAGATGACAAAATGGGGTCTCTCCAGCCATGAGAGAACGTGTCTTTATTTCTGTAAAGAAACCCCACTTAACGCTGTCATTCACACACCACAAGCCACACAACACTACCTGATCCACAGTCTCAGTGTCTCACAGGTCCTGGTCTGGCCAGGGCAGGCAACAGCTACCAATTTAATAAAAGGCCAGTTTACTTCATTTTTTAAAATCTATTTTGATGCCACTAGGGACGCTGTACTGAATGGCAGGTTCTTTAAGAAGAGTGTCAGTTTTCACTGAGAATTTTGATTGCATTAAGATGGCAGAATGGATGGTAGAATATTGCTGTGACTTCAGACTATGAACAAGACATAGGTGAGGTCCAACCTACCTGACATATATATGAGGCAGAGCAGTGGCTCTGTGGCTAAGGATCTGCACCTGTGGCTGAATGGTTGCCAGTTCAAATCCTGCAGCCGGCAGAGGAATCCTACTCTGTTGGGCCTCTAAGCAAGGCCCTTAACCCCAACTGCTCCAGGGGTGCTGTATACATCTTTCTCCCTGTCTATGCCTCTCATGGAGAGCAAGCTGGGGTATGTGAAAAGACAAATTCCTAATGCAAGAAATTGTATATGGCCAATAAAATGCTCTTATCTCTGTCTCTATATTGTATAGTAAATTGAACCCACAGATGACAGAGTAGAAGGTACCCTGCTTACTGAAGTATTTCCTCAAAGTGGCATAGCTCACTCTGGCCCTTGAGCTGACACAGATTCAACAGAAGCTCAACTGTCTGGAGATAGAATCAGGGAAGGTAACAGAGGTTTTCAATTTTGGAAAAGGACAAAGAGAACTTAAAAAATAAAGTTTTGGTATTAAATTAAACCACGGCAAAAAAAGAAAGGAAGCACAAGGTAGGAACAGAGAAGTACTAAAAAGAAAACGGTGAAGAAAAAAAGCCACTATTTAGAAGAGGCTGAAAGAGGATGTGAAAAGGAGTAAGACAAAACAGGCTAAAAGGAATAAATGAAGACCCGTGTCTGAGGCACTTTATTTTTTTACTGCTAAGAAGGCAAGATTGGATCTATATTTTTAAGGGAGAAAAAATTATTTTTCTAAATTTGAGTGTAAATATTTTTCTGTGTTGGCAATGCAGCGGAGCTCGTTCTGATACGGCGAAGTCAGCGCCCTCACTGCACGTCGCAGGGACCTCAGCCGCCTGAGCTGGGGGGGTCTCCTTTAGCTCATGCAGCTGGTTCCCTGTTGCGTTGCGCTGGAGACCCGGGTTTGCGCCCCAGGCGCTGCGGGACGGGACGGGACGGGACGGGTGGCGGAGGGCACGAGCTCGCCCGGGACCGCAACCGTCACAGCAGCAACTTTTTTTGTTTTGTGGCTTCGTTTTATTTTATTGAGATGCACCAACTCCCACGACACAGAGGTAATGTTTGAAGAATATACCCACAAGACTGAAGTGAATGATGTTTCATTTTTATCTGTGAAATAAAGATTCATTGTTTTTAACTGTAATTTGCCCAGAGAGATTTCTTCTTTCAAGTCCTGCCTACTCATCAATCTGAACAGATGACCAAAACCCTCATTTCATCACACTGTTGAAGTGCAAAATGATAATCTAATGAAATTCTTATGAAATTCTGAGCAAAGTTGTTATCAGGTTGATTCTAGTGGTATCATACACATTTACAGGGTGACAATAATAAATTGCGTCATAAGACGTGTGATTTATTATTGACCAACTCAGATTTCCATAAAGCTACCATGTAAAATTGTAAAAGCAATCAATGTAAAAATAATCAATGATGTACTATATCTAGAGTTCTCAGTACTGAAAATGATAATACTGTATAAATTTATGCAGCAAGAGAACTTAACTTTATTTCAGGTTTAGTCTGTGCACTGAATTATTCTTGACATTGGTTGATATGAAAATACTAAAGGAAATTGAGATGATGGGACAAATGACAAGTTTCCTTTGATACAGTGTATATAATTTTTAATATCTACTATATACAGAGTATACCAGCTCCTCTAGTTTAAATTTTCTGCACAAACTATAAATTTTCAAGTAAAACAACGAACAGATAATTTTCTTCATCTTGTCTTTAAGACAACTCTCTCAAAAATATGTAAAGAATGCAAATTTTATACAGTATAAACTATATTTAGTCCAAGCTGATGGATTTGCAGTTATACTAAAGTAAGGAAAAGGTTATGATTGAAGCTACTGTACAGAACTCTGAATAATCTATGGTCAATTATAATAATAACCACCATCATCACATTTGTATATACATTTTAATATGACAGTTCATTGCAGCAAGACCGTTCTTTGCCATTTATACATTTTCAGTATCTGCTCTCTTATTTCCTTTGTCCTGATCCCATAAATAATTGGATTGAAACAACCAGGGAAAAGTATATACATTATACTAATGAAAACACGAATATTGGATGTCATGGAGTTTTCAATCCTGTATGTAAGAAATGCTGTCATGGCACAGATGTAAGACACACTGATGACAATTAGATGAGTGCCACAGGTGTGGATGGCTTTTTGGCATGATTTTACTGATGCAGTTTTGAAAACAGCCCAGAAAATTCTCACATAAGACACAATGATGCACAAACAGTCAACACTTGTTATGCAGAAACTTGCTACCAGTCCAGCAACGCTGTTCTTAGTGGTGCTTCCACAGGCTAAGTTTACCAGAGCCATGTGTTCACAGAAACAGTGATCAATGACATTAGACAAGCAAAAGAAATGGGAACCAGCTAAGATTACAACAATCACATTGAAAATGAGATTTCTCAAAATAACTACAGTGAATAGCTTGAAGAAAGAAGATCTATTCACATAGTCATTGTACCGTAGTGGATTACAAATAGCAACATAGCGATCTAAAGCCATCCCCATCAGGATAGATGATTGCAATCCTCCGATAAAATTTACAAAAAACATTTGAGACAGGCAACCCAAGAGAGAAATCTCATTCCAATCAAGTAAAAAGCTCAGCAACATTTTGGGGGTAATTACAATTGGCCAGATGAGATCTACACATGCAATACAACTGATCAAAACATGCATGGGGGTGTGTAGTGTCCTGTGAGTTATAATGACAAAAATCAGAACTGAGTTGGCAACAAGAGACAACAGAAACATCAGGAAAAAAGGAATAAAGAGGAATCGTCTGTTTTCTTTAAGTGCAGAAAATCCGACAAAAACAAAGTTCGTGTGAGAAACATTTCCAGGTCGATATTCCTGCATTTTTTACTCCAGTGTTATAGATGAAAACACGGCAATTACCTGGAAAATCAAAATAAAATATTCTTTTAACAGTTGACTTTAAAGGAAGTCAATGTAAAGGTTAGTTCTGTAGTGAAAAGTAAAAAGAAAGAAAAAACAGAACACTGGAGCACAGAAATAATTTTTGCCTAATACTCACATACAGTAATGATGCAGCTCTCAATTAAACCCTTCCCCAGGACGTCTTATACCCATAAATCTGATGTACACACTCTTTCCTTACAAATCTTTTACATCCTGTTTATATCTGGTGAGGTGCACTTAAAATATTTGGTTGTTTTGGTATTTAAGCAACAACCAGCCAAAGATAGTAATTTATTTGATGAATATTAGCTATATACAAATGTCCTCAGGATTTAATCAGGCAGTAATAGACAGTGCATCAGCAACAAGTTTATTAAGCCTTAGTAGATGTGTTAAAATAGTGTTAAGGTTTCGACAGGAATAAAGCAGAATGGATAAAGTGGTGTTCGGTACAAGAGAATTAACTCTCAACGATACTCAATAAGCAAATCTTTAACATGTTAAGATGGATATTGGTTTCATTTTGCTCTAAAATAAAAGAGCAAAAAGAACGTGAGTGAAATCTTCACAGATGTGATACTATTAGTGGGTAACATACAGTGTAATATTTTTAAACATAGAGGAACCTTAAAAAATCCCCTTGGAAAATATAAAAAATAGAGATCCAAGGCAAGCATTAAATATTTAATATGTTGTTAAATTATTATATGGGCACCCTCATGTTTGAATTAATTACTGAAGGAGAAACTTATTTTGTAATTAATTTTGTTTTAAACAAATACAAATGATTATTCAAAAAGAAATGCAACACTGACAGTTGTCCTATTGATTAGTTAAATACTTAAAATATACAAACATGCAACAAGTAGTCCTGCTTGTATCAATTGTATCAATGTGCATATAAGATATTAAACAATATTACCTCACTGTTTCAACAGGAATCCATTTGTCCTTGTCTTGCTTTAAATAAGACAGGAATCTCAACTTTTCTAGTGCTACTTTTAAATCCATCTTCCTTTTCCCTTGATGAGTCTCTCTCTGTACCTCCATCATTGGTGCTCAGCCACAGGAGAACAGGGTCACACGTTGCACAATAACTCATTATAGCAATAGACTTAGATATGTTGTATGTGTACATGCATATTGATACATAAGGGACCTGCAAAGAATAAAAATATGCCCTTCGACAGCCACAAAATTGGTATACCAATTGCACTAAATCACACTACAACACATCAACTAGTAAAAATAGTTATAACATTACAGTTAGTGCTTTTTATTAAGAATAATCCTAAGGGTCTTTATACAGTATATATACAGTCTCATACAAACACAGGCAGTATATGCAACACATCAGCTGGTAAGTTAGAAATAGCTCCATCAGTTTAACTGAAGGAGACTTTTAGGAAGTCTTGATTATATAAACCATGGTGGAATCTTTCACTCTTTTGAAAATTGCTTTTCAAAAAGCAATCTTTAATGGCCTAGTAGTACCTCAGTGTAATGCCTCTTATAGCATGGCGTCCACATTAAGATCTTCCCTCCTCTGAAATCCCTTCCTTCACGCTCTAGCAATAGATCCCCCCAGCTCCCTGCTCTGCTAAAGGTTCAGTATATCATCATATAGAATTGACAGTTTCGTAAGACCCACTAACCAAAGCAATAAAGCACCTGAGGACATAAGATCACTTTATTAGCCATATACAATTTCCTGCATTAGGAATTTGTCTTTTCGCATACTGCAGCTTGCTCTCCATGAGACACACAGAGAAGCTTGGGGTCAGAGCGCAGGGTCAGCCATTTATACGGCGCCCCTGGAGCAGCTGGGGTTTAAGGGCCTTGCTCAGGGGCCCAACAGAGTAGGATTCCTCTGCTGGCCGCATGATATGAACCAGCAATCTTCCAGCCACAGGCGCAGATCCACTGCTCCTCTGCCCCATAACATGGGTTAGCATCAAGGCTTTTATCCACGATAACCAGCTAACTGACATAATAACCAGCTAGATATGACTCTGTTTATAGATCCTTAATAAAAAGAGAAACCATAAAACTTTGTACTTTTTAAAGTTGTATGTAAAGATGTTTAAAAATTTACCTTTCAATATATATATATACTGTATATAACATAACGTTTGTATCATTAGTAAAGTGACTGACAGCCATTACAATAAGTATGGATAATGTATTTTTATAGGGCATAGTGTCATAGAATATTTCACGATCCATTCTTAGTTTGTATGTCAATGCATGCTTATTGGTCCATCACTGTAATGTGTATTCCAGCATTTTTGCTTACGTAGTTCCCAATCATTTCTATATGTTGGAACACTGACCGACCAAACAGAATGTAGCTTTGTAACAGCTTAGGTGGGTAGCTGCGTCAGCATGCGTAGGCTGCAAAGGAACAAGTAATAGGTTTATTCCATGCTGAAAAAAAGAAGAAAGAGAACACAACATTTCGGCCAAAATCTCTTTCTTCTTTTTTTCAGCACAGAATAAACCTATTACTTGTTCCATTGTAACAACTTGTCTTTTCAAATGGTTCTTTGCAGCATTGTGATAGGATATAAAATTGTACAAAAAAATGACCTATGATAAATAACAACCATTGCATATCCCCTATCATAATACAACACTGCAGAGTAGAACTGTCTGTTTCAGTACATAAACTCTTAATAAAAAGTTGAAGGTCCCAATTTGTACAATTCTACAGATACCTACAGCATACAGTCCAGTAGATGATGAGTAAGGTCAAGACAAGAATGGGCAGCTTTTCAGCATACCTTATGAAAAGTGATGATCTAAGGTGGAAAAAGTCATTTTTCCACAGATCATTTAGTTAATAGAATATAATTAATCCAGTGCTCCATTGGATCCATCTGTTTCCTGAAAAACAGAGTGTCAGGTTTTGACAACATTCCTGGTTAGCTTGTTCCAGACTTCCAAAACCTTTGTGTAAAAAGTGCCCCCTGTATTCAGTATTAAGCACCTCCTCATACAGTCGTTTTTATGCTTGTTTCTCATGTTTGTGTTTTACAATTGGTTCAGAAGAAGCTCACTGGATTGACAATATCAATGCCTTTAAGTATTTCAATCCCCAATATAGTTTTCTGTGTTCAAGACTAAAAAGATTCCATTCCTTCATCCTTTCTGTAAATGACATTCATTTGTATACTACTAATAAATAATGACTACTGAGCATGTGTGTTATTACCCATAATTTATTAACTATAATTTACACATAAGGCAGCTCAACATACAACAGATACAATGCAAACAAAGGTTAAAAAAAATGTACAATTCATTGAGTTTCAGCCATTTAAAGATTAATTATATTTTTATAATCTGAAACAAAACAACTTTGTTCCCTAATGATTTATATGGAGAGAGCCCGCATCCTAATAAACAGAATGGATTCTAACCAGGACTAAACAGATGCTCACAAATTAACGGGAACCTCTTTCCTTATATTCTACACAAACCATCAAAAGAGGAGAAAAATAATTAGCCAAAAATTAACAAGTTTAGCAATACAGCAATATCACTTCTATAATAAGGCTGAGAGTCTGGTATTCTTTCAACATTCATATTATCTAGACAAAGTTAGTTACAGGTCTGGTTGAAAAGAGCAGCACTTCTGATGCTGCCTGTTCTTCCTTGCACTCATGTCTACTGGTATGGTCCTGCTTTTATTAAATTACCAGGACTTCTTTTGACATCATGGTTACTTCCCATTCTTCCAAACCATCATTGCAAGGTAATCAAGTTGAGACGTATAAACAAGCTTGCCTTACTAAATTTTATTTGCTACTCTTTCAATAATAATAAATATTATTATTAATAATAATAAATAGCATACAACGTATTTCACCCCAAAGGATCTCAAAGTTCACATGGGTAAGGAACCTATTCTTCCAATACTGAAATGTAACACACACTGTGTAACAAGAAGACAATATGCTCCAGAAACCCCACCACTCCGTAGATCAGTTGAAAAAGGGCAATAATTAGGGAGGCCAGAATGAGTAAGCCAGGTTTCACATCCACACTCTCGATTACATTATTGATTATAATATTATTTTTGTTACTTGCATGTTACACTTGACACTTTAACAGAAGCTCTGGTGATTTTGGATCTCCAAACTAGTTTCATTAACTGTTCTCTTATTTCTTTTGTTCTAATGCCATAAATGATTGGGTTGAAACAGCTGGGAAGAAGTATATACATTATACTAGTTAGGACACGTATATTGGGAGAGAGTGAATTCCTGATCCTGTAAGACAGGAATGCTGTCATGGTACAAGTATAAGTTACACACATGACAATTATATGGGTAGTACAAGTATGGATTGCCTTTCGGGAAGACTTTCCTGATTTAAATACAGAGTAAAATATTTTTACATATGAAATAACAATACAAATACAGTCAACAGTTGTTATGCAAAAAACTGCCACCAACCCAAAAACACTGTTTATCAATGTGCCTCCACAGGCCAACCCTACCAGGGCCATGTGTTCACAGAAACAGTGATCAATGACATTGGAAGTACAGTAGGAGAGATTACCAGCAAGGACAACAACAATCACGACAAACATGCCATTTCTGAGAACAGCTGTAATGATCAATTTTAGGCAAGTAGAAGTGTTCAGGTAGTCATTGTAGCGCAGAGGAATGCATATGGCAGCATATCGATCCAGAGCCATCCAGAGGAGAATGGATGATTGGAACGTGCCAACAAAAAGCAGAAAAAACATTTGGACCAGACACCCCAGAAATGAAATATCATCCCAATTGAATAAAAAACCTAACAGCATTTTTGGGACAAAAAATACTGGCAGGCTCAGGTCTACAAATGCCATGGCTCCTATTAAAACACACATTGGAGAGTGTAAACTTCTCTGTGTTTTAATGACAAATATAAGAGCTGAGTTGGCAAATGTAGACAAAACAAACAACATAAAGAAAGGGAAGAAAAGCAGCCATCTGTTTTCTTTAAGACCTGAAAATCCATTTAAAACAAATTCAGTGTGAGAAAAGTTTCCACTTTGGTATGCCTGCATGTTGATCCCAGTGCTGGAGTTTTCAAACATCAGTTTCCTGGGGGTCAGAACAAATTAATTAATCATTCCAATTTCTGTAAGATTATACATAGGCCATGGGCTAGATCCCTGGTCTATAAAGCTCTTCTCAGTCTAAAATAGGTCATCTTTTCTACAGATTTGCACCAGTTATAGGTCAATTAACCTGTTCAATTAATAGAACCATTCCAAATTTCCAAGTTTCATTCGAAATTAGAGATTTAATGGCAACATGCTGGATTGTTGTTCTTTAGAACCGAAAAGGGGACTTGGGACCCCTGTTTCAGACTAAATAAGCATTTCTGACTTTATCATTAAGTCATGGTTACACAGATCAACCATATATAGAAGTGGTACAAAGCTAACACAAAATCACTATTTTTTCAATAGGAAAGCACAACATACACTGTATCATTGTTTTAATTTTATGCTATTATGGAAGATATGAATACTTCTATGGCATAAAAGTATAATCCAATAAAATACTGTAGAGGAACACAGGCAGAAAAATAAAAAAATACTGTATCTTTCAATATTAATCTAATAATAATAGAATATTAATGATAGGATGATCAATTCAAAAATATACTAAGAAAGTTTAAAAAGACCATTCTTATTCTATTCAAAAATCAATTTTACCGTAATAAAGATATAGGGTAAGGCAGCTCACAGTTTGGTATGGAAACCCTCTTTTGTCTCTTTCCTCTGCGCTTTAATCCAGCTCCTGCAACTCTTAAATCCCCTTCCCATACTCCCTTGATGAGGTACTAGCATGGTGTTAAAAATAATCCTTAACAGCAACAGATGAGGCAACAGTTCTTAGAGCACGAAGGCAGGGGTTCCCAACCCTGTTGCAGTGGATCCACACACCTCCTGGTTATTGTTTCAGGTCAGCTCTTTACTTAACTGAATTGCATCATCGAACTAAAAAAAAATTTTTTTGAATTTAACCTTTATTCTTTTTCTCTACTGAAATAGCTGATGGTTTTAGATATTTAAGTTACTTATACAATGGTTAAAAGACGACTTACAGTACACCACGTTTTGGCATGAAAAATAATTAAATAGATGAAATTAATCTCTTTTTATATCAAGTAAGGTGATTAAAGCAGTAGGTGTGGGTCTAGGAATTCCTGCACAAGGCATCAATTTACATGTACAATTCCCATCTAAGCACAGGCCCATAGCAAACACAGTTAATCAGTCTGTTAAGAAGCACATTATCTCACACAACAAATAATAGGCCCGTCTGCAATAGCCACAAGGTGCAATCCATTAGCTTCCAACGGGATGTTTTGGATCATCATTTGTTAATTCAAATTTAAGGCCTGGTTTTAGATTTTAAATTCTGAATGTCTGACACTGAAATACATAATCTGTCAGTGGTCAGAGGTCATCGAGCCCTGCTGGTGAATCAACTTCATCTCTCTGGCATGGAGGCGCTATTGTACGGATCTTAATTCATACTGGAGCAGGGGAAGGGGAAGCTCTTTGGAAGGGTAAAAGCAAGTTTTTGTTTTTGTTTTTGTTTTGCTCTTCACTGCTTTTCTGTATTGGAGAAAAGCATATGTAAGGAAGAGGCACAGAAGGGGTCCAGCTTTTGATGCAATATTTATTTATTTATTGCATACCATAAGGGGAAGACAGTGCAACGATGAGTAGTGTTTTGAGTTGGAAGTATTGGGAGGGAAATGTTAAGGATTACTCACTACCTCTACTGGTTTGTTGATATACTGTACAATCACCTCTAAAATAAACAGCACAGGTAATGAGCTATAGGTTACTGTATGCTCAAGAAAATGGAAAATAAATCTGTTCTCGTGCAAAAACTCAGAGAAGAAAATGGATATGCTGTCATTTGAAAATGCTATTAAATCTGCATTAAGATTCTACTTCAGGTTCTCCACAGCTTGCTGCTTCACCAGGGTTTAAGTTAGAATAATAATGAATATTCATTTTCACAAAAACTGTTGCACTAACTGAAGCACCAAACTAGAAACACTGATCTCTTCCAACTATTAGATTAATAGTTTTAAGAACAGGAGCTGCACACCTCTGTGCTAGATAATGTTGCACTGCACTCAGCAACCCTTTTAACTTTGACTATAATCATGATATAGCACAGGCCTTGAGTGCCTTGTTGCTTTTATAAAACGGTCCCCAAATATCCAATTGCTGTACAGAATGAACTTTAATTAAAAAATTATTTAACATGAACATTAAGTTGTTTACATCCCTCCACCTGAGAATATAGTCCATCAGCCATAAGATAAGATCACTTTATTAGCCATATACAATTTCTTGCATTAGGAATTTGTCTTTTTGCATACCCAAAGCTTGCTCTCCATGAGACACACAGACAGGGAGAGAAGCCTGGGGTCAGAGCGCCAGGTCAGCCATTTATACGGCTGGAATAGGTGGGGTTAAGGGCCTGGCTCAGGGGCCCAACGGAGTAGGATTCCACTGCCAGCCATGGGATTTGAACCGGCAACCTACCAGCCACGGATCCTGAGCCACAGAGCCACCTCTCCGCCCCTAGTAACATTAACTAGCAAAGAGAGGATATAAGCTAACCAATATGATAAAGGAATAAATTACTTTTTTGTTTATTTCTTTAGCACATTTATTTAACATTTCCATTGATCATACAAGCATTGAAAAACTGGAAAAACTGTCCAGTCCCTAGTTTGTCAGGCATTTTCTTTTTCACTGCAGAAGTGCTCCCACTGGTGCCGGTCTCGGTGCCTGCCAGGATATCACTCCAGCGCTCTGTCATTAAAATTGGGTTTCCAGTAACGCCGTAGCAAACTCTAACAGACATAATCTCCCTTACTTTTAACTGTGCTTTTGATCATTTCTAAGAATTAAAATGATTTAAACTAAACGACACTATCATTCATAGAGAGCACAAAAACTCACAAGGATCCTCAACAGCGCAACAGAGAGAGCTACAGAATATACAGTACATGCATCAAATACCTGAGAATCCAAGCTTTCCTATCTGCGCTAAGAAGTAGTCTTTGAAAACCTATTGATTTGCTTAACCGTTATTTATCAGTCAGCACATTGATATTTCTTTATCACACAGTAAAAAGTCAAAATTCCTTCCGGGGGGTGCGTATATCAGAGAATATTTATAATACCCGTTATACTAATGAATAAAGTTATACCTCTTAGACACAGCAGCTGAATCAAAAGTTAATCTGATAAGAAATGAACCCAATTATAAAAACTTTTTTCATCTATTAAAATTGTATTGTCTTGTAGCAAATATAATACTTCCTATAATCTGAACAATTCAAAACTAATGCTTTAATCTCTGTAAAATATTCACCTAGAATTCTAAGTTAAAAAGCATTTAGTGCCATCTAGTGACAGTGAAAAAGTGTATGTTGTATTAAATGTTGCCAAGCTAACCTCAAGGTAGGGGGTGGAGATGTTTTACTTTTGTCCAGTGTAAAAATATTTTCATATTTTAAAATCTAGGGTGTTAGGAAACCAGGAAATCTAGTTCATTCTCTTTCTGGGAGACAGCAAGCTGTCGTATTGTCTGACCTTAAAACATTCTCACATTTTTTTGTATAGATCTTTAGGATTTTATAATATTAGATTCCAAAAGTACCTAATCTATCTCATCTATCTAAGACAAATGGCCTTGTTTGTAATATTAAATATGTTCAGCACATGTAACTACTATATATGGACAAAGATCTGCTGTTCTGAGGACATGTCTGTGGATAATTAAAGCAAGAACCTACAATAATCAAGGTCAGAAACACATTTCCTATATATTTATTTTATTTCTGAGATAATGTTTTTAATAAATACAGTGCATGGCTCAGACTAGGGGTTGCAAAAATGTATTATAAACAAAATGTACAAATAGAATCCTTAAGTGCCTCCGGATCCAAGATTACACCAAATTTGCATGAAGGTTAATTTTATATTGACACATGGTACTGTATTTTAAGCTAGATGATCAATGACCAGTGCTCATAAAGTCTGTGTAATAAGCACAATTAAACAGTTGATTACACTATTCAAAACAATCAACAGATAAAATGATTTTATCTCTTAATAACCTGAGCATTTTATTTATTCTGATGGAATAAGTAATTAGAAAAATCAGTCATTGTAGGGAATGCACAAGGCATATACTGGGATACAAAGATGAAAAGGGTAAAATAGGGGTAAAGGTAGACAGATGTATTATTGTGCATTCACAGTAAAACCTTTTTTTCCTCTCAGTAGCTCATACAGTATTGTAACACCAACAAGTTCTAGAGTGCAGTCCCTTCTTTATTCCCTGGTTGATACAGAATTTGTTGGTTAACCAACACACTGTGTTAATTAGCACACAAGGGCTTGCTGTTGTAATATAATGATTTGTTAACATGAACTTCACATTTAAAAATAAAATCCAAACTGTGTCATTAATAATCAGCCAATAATTACTGATGTCTTAAATGATCTGTGTACAGGGACAAATACATTCTGCATTAAAAAATCTTCATTTCTCAGCCTGCTTTAATGCCTGCCATAATAAAAGACTTTACTAAAGTTCATGGTATTTGATTTAGACTTATTTTCAACAAGGGCTGAATAACATGCTCTAGACTTATTGCAGGTTTAGCTCAACACCTTTGTTTCCATTTAAATTTGTAAAATGTCTAAGGCAAAATCCAGACAGCTGACAGCTTTGGAGTCTCTTTATGAATCAGCCAAACCAATAACCAGAAATAAAACTACTAACACCTGAGGCTTAAGAGGTTTACAAACATTTTTTTGGGAAACAACAAGAACATGATGGAAATTAAAAGCCAATCCAAAATTTAAAATGCTCTAAATCAACAAACTGCAAAGAAAACACATATATTTTATTCAGCAAAGGCTGGAGTCCTGGGTGGGGTGTACAGTGTGCTGTGTTCCCAGTCCGCCTGGATTTAACACTACAGTATGTTTCCAATATGCTCCCATTCTTACCAGGATACCTGACTTTCTGATGATGGATAAAATAGGTGGGAAACAGATATATTCTCAAAATGTCCTTGTACTATATATTAGGAAAGCAAAGAGGCATCTTCACCTCTTACAAAATGGGACAGTGAATAACTGGATTCAAACATATATTACTAAAACTGATGAATACATGATTTTCTTTAATTTATTGAATATTTTCGTAGCTGTTTCAATATAAACAGAAATGTACAATTTCTCATACATTCTAAGCTACTGTGATGTTCCACTTGAAACCTTTACAGCAATGTGAGCTAGTGTTTGACTTTGAAAAAATTTCACTATGTGGACTCTTATGTCTTTAGTTCTAAAGCCATAAATGATTGGATGCAAACAGCTGGGGAAAAGTAGATACAATATACTGATTAAGACACGGATATTTGGAGAAAGTGAATTCCCTGTTCTATATGAAAGCAATGCTACAAATGCACAGATGTAAATTAAGAACAAGAACATAATATGGGTAGTGCAGGTGTGGACTGCTTTCCTGGATGATTTTCCTGAGTCCCTCAGAAAAACAGAAACGAAAATTTTGATATAAGAAACAAGAACACACATCCAATCAAGAACTGTTATACAAAAAATTATTAGGAGTCCTACAATGTTATTTAGCACCGTACTTCCACAGGCCAGCCCCACCAGGCCCATGTGCTCACAGAAACAATGATCTATGACATTTGAGTTACAGAAGGAGAGATTGCCATCGAGAAATGCAATAACCACAAAGAAAATGCCATTTCTGACAAGAGATACTATCACAAATTTAAAACAATTAGAAGTGTTCAAGTAGTCATTATAGCGCAATGGAATGCATATGGCAACATAGCGATCTACAGCCATCAGGAGAAGAATGGATGTTTGGAATGTGCCAATAAAATTAATAAAAAACATTTGGACCAGACACTCCAACAGAGAAATAGCATTCCAGTTAAATAAAAAGCTTAACAACATTCTAGGGATGAAAGACATGGTCAGAAACAAGTACACAAATGCCGCAGCACCTACTAAAACATACATTGGAGAGTGTAAACTCCTTTGAGTTTTAATAATGTATATTAGAAGTGAGTTGGCCACAACAGATAAGACAAACAAGAGACAAAAAGGGAAGAAAAGCAGCCATCTGTGTTCGTTAAGTCCAGAAAATCCAACTAACAAAAATTCAGTGTGAGAAAAATTTCCACCTTGATGTTCCTGCATCTTGATTCCAGATCTGGAGGTTTTAAACGTCACAGCTATGTATGTCAGAATGAGAAAATAAGTCTGTTAAAGGTAAAAAAGATATTTAGTCATGAGTAAGATTCCAAGGCCAATTTACATCTTGAAGAGTATAACAGTGACATAAAATCACAATACACAGACAAACAATAGGTAAATGTAAACTGTAAAACCAACATTAATCTGTCATATTTACTAATCAACGGTCAACGGTCCTCTTAGTGATCTTACAAGAAGAACAGAAAAGAATAGCAGGACACCACTACATGTCCTTGTCCAATTACAAACTACATTATGAAAGTCTGAATTCGATTACATCTCTAACAAAACATTAAAGTAAATATACATTTTTGTATAACTTCATAACATCACACGACAAATAAAATGCTTTCAAGCAAGGTGTAAATAGGCAAGACAAAGACCAATTCAAATTATATTCATTTCGGCATTGCAAATGTTACCTCATCAACAGCAAAATGCAAAGTACAAAATAGAACTCAGTTTCATAAGGAACGCATTCTTTACTTTTTCGTCCAGGATCATACTTTATCCCATTCTAGTCTTAGATCTTCTCTTAAATCCCTTTCCCATAATCCCTTGATGAGATACTAGCAGGGTGTTAAAAATAATCCTTAGCCAAGACAAACAAGATAACAATTCTTAAGGCATCAAAGGATAAACCTGTGTAGAACTGCATGGATACACACGCCCATAACCTATAATTAATCTATTGAGAATTCCATTGTTTTAAATTAAAAAAACAAGGCAGTCTTAGCATTCGGAACTAATGGTGTTGCATAATATTCTGCATGGCTCAAGATCTCAGACACTTTGCAGAAGCATGTCCTCCATCTAAGATCAGAATTCACTAAGAACTAGATAGATACTTTATTGATCTCATGAGGGAAATTGCAGAAAAAAGCTACATTGGGGAAGTGGAGAGGGAGCACCCGGATTTGGACTGGGGACCTCTTGATCTGCAGTTAAATGCTCTACCACTGAGCTAAACCCCTACTGGTTGATTACCATAATGTCACCAGCAGGGCCACACTTAGGGTGTCTCCATGTTCGGATACGAACTTTGTTACCAATTTGAATTTTGAAACTTTTTAAAATTAAAAGACATTCTTGTGTCAGTTCAGTATTTCGCAGAGATTAAAATCCATGACTTTGCACAGTAAACCATATAAAACTGTTTAACTGCCCAATATTTCTGCCAACAGTTCGACTCTGTGAACACCTCAATAACTTGATTGATTTTATTAAAAGTGTAACAGCTTCTGTCAGCTTCTGGGGGATGATTGTATTAAATGCTGAACTGAAGTCAATGAACAGTATTCTTACATTAGAGTCTTTCTTATCCAGGTGGGACAGGGCCACGTGAAGGGAAAGAGATATAGCATCATCAGTAGACCAGTTGTGGCGGTATACAGTACAAACTGAAGTGGGTCCAGAGGGGGTAGGGAGTCTGGACTTGATGTGGCTCATGACTAGCCTCTCAAAGCACTTCATGATAATTGGTGTGAGTGCCATTGAGGCAGGACACAGCTGACTTCTTCAACAGTGGTAGAATAGTGGTGGATTTACCGCCTGGCACAAGGAGATATTAAGAATATCTGTGAAGACGTCGGCTGAGCTGTACTGCACATTCCTTGAGCACGTGACCAGGTATATTATTGGGTCTAGCAGCCTTACGTGGATGAACTTTGGGTGGTGTCCTCCTTACATCAGCTGCAGACAGGCAAAGCACCTCATCGTCGGGAGGAAGTGTGGTTTTCCTCACAGGCACAAGATTAATTGCTTCCAACCGTACAGTACATAGTAGTTTTTCAGCACATCTGGGAGGGAGGCATCACCGTCACTGATACGTGGGGTAGTCCTATAATCAGTAATGGCCTGGATGCCCTGCCACATGCGCCGCCTGTCTCTGGTGTCCAGGAAGGGGTCATGGATTTTTTGTGCATAGGTGCGCTTTGCCTCCCTGATGGCATGGGACAGGTTGGCCCCCGGAGTCCTGAGGGCTGCCCTGTCGCCTGATCTGAATGCAGCATCACGGGTTCTCAGCAGTATGTGGACCATTGCAGTCAGCCATGGCTTCTGGTTGGCCCGTGTGATGGTGGATTTGGAAACAGTGACGTCATCTATACACTTACTGATGTAGCCAGTCAAGGATGCTGCATACTCCTCTAAATTGATGAGATGCTCAAATGCTCATAGGTATTAGCCTCCCTGAACATATTCCAGTCTGTGTGCTCAAATCAGTCCTGTAATGTTGAGATGGCTCCATCTGGCCATATTCTGATCTGTTTCACAACTGGTTTGCCCCATTTAAGCAGCGGTCTGGATGCATGTATTAGCATAATAGAGATGTGGTCAGAGTAACCCTGGAGGGGACAGGGAACAGCCTTGTATGCGTCACGGATTTTTGTATAATAGTAAATAGTAAATGGTAAATAGTAGGGAAACTTTTCTCTGAAACTTTGCTGTCCGCGCGGAAGAAAGGCAGTCCAAAATATTGTCCTTTAGACATGCTTTAGTTAAAATAAAGACGCAGCATTCCTTTATCTCTCGCTGAGCAGCCCGTTGCAATCTTAGGTAGTCCAGCTTGTTCTCCAGAGAATGGACGTTGGAAAGAAAAATTGACGGGAGAGCCGGTCTGTTGGGGTTGGCTTTTAGCCTGCAACAGATTCCAGCCCTCTTGCCTCATTTCTTTCACCCCGCTTTCTGCGCCTCCTCATTCGGACACCTGCACCAGGTCGCACTGCTGTCCCGTCAGCCAAGGCTATTCAGCTTCTCCTTCAGCCTCTCCGTGAGAATACTCAGTGGGTAGTCCTGGCAGCGTATTTCAATTCCCAGCAGGGCCAGGCGAGCGTAAACGTTTGAAAAAATTGGACAAGTGACAACATTTAACACTGGGACAACATTTTGCGCCGTTTTTTCCAGTCCCCGATCAGCCACTGCGTCCATGTGCACTGCCATCTTAGTCTTAACAGTGACTTGACAGTAATGGTCATTCTAGAAGGGAAATTTATTTTTTCACAAGGATTTAGTATTTCTGTAGAATACGAATATTACTGGAGCATGACACACTACCCTGTGTTAGATCATGTTATACTACGGGGGTCCTAAGACCACTTGCACTGTTAAATCTCTGCAGTAAGTAATGTATGTACAATATGTACATGAGAAATGTGGAACAGCTTTGGTTATCATGAGCCTTGTTTAGTATTTCTGACACCTGCTTTCTCAACAAACAAGACTCTTGTAGGGTTTTGTCATTAAAGTCCTCAATGGCAGAACATGTACTGCCTGGAATAATGTTCTGTCAGGACATGAAAGTTGATTTGTACAGTACCTATCATCTCTAGTACATTCTCTAGGTCCTTTTATGGCAGCAGAAAAGTGAAGGCTGGGAACTGGCAAACTTTGTGATCTGTGATGTGACTCTTGAAGCAGAGGTGCATTTAAATATCTTTAACTATAACTGAACAGGTCTTATAAGTATCAGATCTGCTCACACCTTCTGGGAAAGAGACTAGAAAAGATGTCTCTAAAATAATCTGCCTCTACACCCTCGAGTAAATAGCCACACAGAAAGGGATAACCCTAATGTGGTAGAAAAGCATAAATTACTATGTGACAGGTCATCAGCTAAGGCTTTTTGGAGAGGGAAGGAAGAGGAGAGCAGAACTGTAGGTTCACCTGGGTTTACTGATATTTAATGGTTAGCAAGTGTATGTGCTGATCAGGGAGTCGGTAAAGAGCACGATAGATACTGTGCATGACAGAAACGTTTATATTGTACTCAAGGAGTTTATTGGCTGGTTGGGATTGTTTTTTTAAGGAAACTCTTTTATAATTTGTAGATATTCCTACAGTAAGTGCACAAACAAAGTTTGTATTGTTAGTATTATTATGTGGTTCAACTAGAAAAATAGAACTGCTGACCTCATCAATCAAGATATAGTTCTGATTTCTGGGCTGATACATTCAATTGTCATACTTTTAAAGTTTCACACAATCATGGCTTATTTAAATAAATATGCTGTTTTAATGATTCTGTCTTGTCTTGAAGATGAGTTGTGTAGTTCAACTAGATGATTCTATTTCAGCTGCAACCTCTTCATGTCTTTACCAACAGAGCCTTACCTTGATCTTATTAGTAAAAATACCAACTATGGTATTTTTAAAAATACCAACTATGGTATTTTTAAAAATACCAACTTTGGTATTTTTACCACAATTGGTAAAAATTGAAATTGATTCCATTCTAGTCTTGCAAGATCTACTCTTAAATCTCTTTTCCACAATCCCTTGATGAGGTACTAGCACGGTGTTAAATATAATCCTTAGCCAAGATAAACAAGACAGAATTTAAATGACAAAGTTTAATATCAACATAATTTACATATTACAAGAAATTGTTTTAGAAGAGCAGGCAAACTCAGCTTCATGTCTTGAATAGACACTGTAGTGAACTTATATGTCAGATCAGCTGCAATAATCAAAACTGAATACAATATAAAACATTTCTTAAAAGTACTAAATAAAAATGTATTGCCTTTTCAAATATTTTAATTGTACTTCTGTTTTTTTTTCTGTCAAAAAAGTTTACATTTACTTATAACTATATGCTGGAGCTAGTTATTTTGAAGGTCTTTCTTGAGATTTCATTTTGAATCACACTGTTGATGTACACAGGTGGAATCCTTTCTTTGTCTATTCTTCCTAAAACCTGCTGTACATTACCCTTGGTACGCTTGTAGACAGTTAAGAGATTTTAATAGTTTGAAGAAGTCTAAGTAAATGTTCTCTTATGTCTTTAGTTTTGAAGCCATAAATAATTGGGTGTACACAACTGGGAAAAAGCAGATATAATATACTAATCAGGACACGGATATTGGGAGAGAGATTGTTCCCAACCCTATATGAAAGTAATGCAAGCAATGCACAGAAGTAATTCAAGAGTAAGACTATGATGTGAGTAGTACAGGTATGGATTGCTTTTCGGGAGGATTTTCCAGAGCCCCTCAAAAAAACAGAAATGAAAATTTTGACATATGAAATAATAACACACAACCCATCAACAACTGTTATAAAAGATATTATTAGCAAACCTACAATACTGTTTATTACTGTATTTCCACAAGCCAGGCCCACCAGGGCCATGTGCTCACAGAAACAATGATCTATGATATTTGATTTACAGTAGGAGAGATTGCCATCAAGGAAGGCAATAACCACAAGAAATGAACCATTTCTGATAAGTGATACAAAAACAAATTTAACACAATTTGCAGTATTCAAATAGTCATTATAGCGCAGTGGAACGCATATGGCAAAATAGCGATCTATAGCCATTAGGAGGATAATAGATGTTTGAAATGTGCCAATGAAATTAATAAAAAACATTTGGACCAGACACCCCAACAGAGAAATGGCATTCCAGTTCAATAAAAAGCTTAACAACATTCTAGGCATGAAAGACATAATCAGAAACAGGTTTACAACTGATGTGGCACCAATTAAAACACACATTGGAGAGTGTAAACTCGTTTGTGTCTTAATAACAAATATTAGAAGTGAGTTGGCCACAAGAGATAACAGAAACAACAGAAAGAAAGGGAAGAAAAGCAGCCATCTGTGTTCTTTAAGTCCAGAAAATCCAATTAAAAAAAAATCATTGTAAGAAACGTTTCCATCTTGATGTCCTTGCATCTTGATTTCAGACCTGGAGATTTTAAATATAAGAATTTTCTGGGAATTAGATTATTTCCATTATAATCAATAATGGTGCATACCAGTGACAAAAGTATAATATTAATGATGAAATTTAAAATAGCAAAAAAGGCAAATATTATGATTAGTCAGTGAACATGAATACTTCTTTAGATATCAATGTCAATAAAATATAAGGAAAGAAATATACAATAAGGAGACAAAAGATTCAATAAATTAATTTCCTTATGGTATGCTACAAATGAATAAGCAGTGTTCAGTAAATCAATAAAACTCACTGTTTCATAAGAAAACCCCTCTTCTGTCTTTTGCCGTTGATCACAGTTTAATCCAGACATGTCTTACCAGAGGTACTCTTATCCCTTTCCCAGATTCCCTTGATGAACTTCTAGTACGATGCTAAAAATAACAGTAAAGAATGACATAATGTATCATAAAGTAACAAGGCAAGGCTGTGTATCAAATATCACAGAGAAGCAGAGGCCCACAGATTGAGAAAGCTAATTGAGAAATACACCAAATCAGTTTTTTATTATAAACATTTTTTTTATTCAAGGATGAGTCCCAGCCTTAGTTTTTGGGGCTGTAAGTGGAGTGTTCATTAAGACAGGTATGAGTTATGAACTTTCCCCTTTGTTCCCCACTTAAACCACACTAAATGCATCCTCTGTGGAAGCTATCCAAGGCATACTAGTGAATCACCTTATGTAGCACTGCCGGAAATATTTTTTTATGTTTCATGACCTGAAAAGAATTCTTTCTGGACTCTTATTTTCTTGTTCCATCATGAGGGCAGGAGAAGCTGCAGTAACTTACAGCAGTGTATCGCTGGCAATGCTAAAAATGGTAAAAAAAAACAGAAATGTCCAAAGCGAAGGAAATAATCAATTCCAACAACAGATGTCAGCTTATTTGCTTCACTTCCCACTAACCAGTGTACAAATGCCTGCGCATGAAAACAATTAATCTGTCTGACTGTAGTTCAGTAGACCTAAATCCCCCAAATGTTCTCTAGAGCTCTTTATTGTTGTGACCTGGTTTAAACCAGGCATAATGTAAAGGACAGACCAATGAGGTCTTCAATGATAGGGCTAACATACGAAGAGGGCCAACTAACAAGGGCCACATGCACTGTGTAACATAATGGGTAAGTATACAGACTCATAACTCATAAGGCTTCTTCAAGTCCCTTTCCCAGATACTGCTGTTGTCATTTCATTGAAGTAGTTCACTGCCCAGAGGGTAAGTTACAGTATAAGACTTAGAAACAAGGACAACCTCTGGCCTGATGAGCAGTTATTGTCACGCCCTCTGTAGCCAGACGGCGCTCCTTCTCTGTCCTGTCCCTAATTTCTGGTCTGCTGTCCTTCCGGTCCCTCTCTTTCCCATGGGCTATATATTTCCGGGTCTTGCACTCTGTCAGGGCTCAGCATTGACGTTCGGATGTCCTGAGACCCGCCTAGCACCAGGGCGCCCCACGTCCGCTCCCTGAGGGCATAGGTTTCTATACGGCATTCCTGAACTCTTTGCACTAATGAGCCCGGGCCTTTTTCCCGTCTCGCCGCTACGCATATGGGTCTTTTTCCGCTCTCCTGCACCCCACGGTTAGCCACTTTGGACGTCCGTGACAGTTATAAGTGGAGTTACCAACCAGAACCCAGAGCTGGTAGCATGGTGTTGACTTAGAAGTAATCCTGTTAGCCAAGACAGATACAGTATACAGCATATAAAAACCGGGGCCCTTTCAAGAGGAACAACTGGTAAGGTTGCAGGCTGAGATTTATGATTATGGGTTCAAGTCTGGTTCATATCACTATCCAGGTTTGACTGGGATTTTCTCAAGCAGTGACAGACAACAGCTGCCAAGGGTAGGATAGGCCAGCAGAGCTCTCTCTGCTCTCAGCAAAACGGCTATCCCTTTGGTTTCCTAAGGCTCTCACAGGTATTTGGTACTGTTGATGAGAGAGGAGTTTATCTTCCAGTTCATGCTGAACCTCCAATACAGGGTGTTGCTGCCTGTGACATGTTAAATGTTGAGTGGCTCAAAGATTTGGAGGTGTCTGCCTACACTGCCTCATTCTCCCAAGACATGAAAAAAAAACACACAGTAAATGGCGATTCCAGCTTAGCTGTATGTAGCAAAGCTGTCGATTTTAAATTAAAAATATAAATGGGCGTGCACTGGCACTGCCTTCCCTGTAGGGGCCAGAACAGCTGGGACAAAGTTTGCTTCTCATTTCTGTGACACAACACAGTTTAACTTTTCGATAATTAATTAATTAAGTATTAACTAATGTCCATTAATGTCCCCCGGAACTGCCCAAGGGACGGAGCGCTTGACACACTAAGTAAATATTTACTGAAGACAAACATCACATTTCACAGTATGTCATCCAACAAAACCCCAAAATCTTTTGCAGAAAACCTTATATCAATCTGAAATAGACAACCGGAGCTTCACAAAACCATTTTCAGAACCAAAGTACACCTAAGCTATTGATCACAATAACACTTTTTATCTGATGACGCACTTCAGCAAATTTCCAAAGTGTGTCGATTAGTAATCAATAACCCAGCAAAAACATGACTGCAAAAACTTATACCAGCGACAAAAATGTATATTTATCCCATGTTTTTACCTTGTTCGAGGCATCTGCAAGACCAGAAATACATCCACAAGAGGCTTACCTTACTCATCTCCATACTTGGAGGAAGCTGAAAGGTATTGGCTGTTGCAACTGAATTTTGAAACTGACCGCCTTGAAAAAGCTGGTCTGATTGGTGGAAAACACTGTCATTCATTGTATTTTCAGTCATTCATAGCCCTGAGGCGATGGGAGAATTTTTTGTAGAATATTTTCAAATTCGTCAATTTGTCTTGATTTTTTATCCAAGCTAGTAGACACCTAACGCAGGGCCTACAGAAAGCTGTTTGAAAGGCCACCCCAAAAAATCTTTGAAGTCAGAAAAAAAATTCCTGCTGTTTTTTTCTGTATATTTTGTCTGCTGTGTGGACACATTAAGAGAAAAAAGAAATTTGAATACACTTAATGGAAAAGGGGTTAGCTTCAATTTAAGATTTAAGTCAGGGTTCTGCTATGTTCCACTATAGAGATATAACAAAACCTTAAGGGGAGAAAATTCCAGGTTGAAACTGGCTCTGGGGGCCTGTATCAGTAAGGCGTAAATTACTGTGTCTGTTCCCTTATAGTACTCACAGAAAATCACAAAATAGTTGAAAGGTATGATCAGACTGAGATACACACTCACAAAAAATCATTTTGGCACACTTAATATTATCTACAGAAGCCCACATAACACGCTACCTATGATTTTGACAAAAAAACATCAATTGTTTCATGGCTTAATGGCTTAATTGCAGATAGTTGTTAATTTGTGTCCTTATTATCAAAACAAAACCATAATACAGAGTATAATACAAAAGTACTTAGTTTATTTAAGTATGATAGAGCTATGATAGATAAAACTTTTTTTAAAAGATAAAAAACGATAGATAAATAAGTGTAAAATGGCCATTTATCAGTCATTTAACTGTTTGCTTTTTGTACACAGCTCTTGAGTGTGATGAGATCCATTGGCATCTCAGCCAGTGTACAGAACAGCTTTTTTTGTGTTTTGCCAGATGTCTCACAGCAGCCCTTTAAATACAAAGTATTTAGTGAAAATGCAAGGAAGGCATACTACAAAATGAATTATTTGCCATAAGTTTTTAATGTACAGTATTTCTGTATGTACAGTAAGATCAATGGGGTTTCTTTATTTTCTTGATACAATCTGAAGCAATTTGAAGGTTTTTTTTTATTTAAGGATATTTTAGATTCAAGTTACTTATATGTGATTTCTGCCACATGGTAAAATGTGCTTGTGCATATTTTTATTTTTTTCATGGTGGTTAAACAGAGATCAAGGGAGTGCTAATGGATATGAAATTGTGCATTTTTTTACATCAAAATACAATAACACCTCAGATAAGGGGAGATGGGAGTAGAGACAGATCAGATATTTTTCTGAACTGTTGTGTGACATAATGTGACATCTTCTGCAGTTATATCTGACAAACTCTATGGCGGCTGCTTAGATGTGTTGAAAATAAAATGTTTCTGAAAGCCACAGTATGAACATGGATTCCTGTGAGAACAAAAGATTTTTGTGTGAGAGATTGAATAATGAATACTGCTGAGATGAGATAATGCGATACATCAGGGAACTAATGCCTTGATTCTTTTTATTTCTGCGTCACCAGTCTCACAAATCACCCTGTCACGAATGTTCATACTTATTATACTTATTTAACTTATGTTAATACTTATTTAATTGTAATCAGCTGTGGCACACTGCTGCATTTACACACTTCATTCAGATCTAGTTTTGTAAAGTACACTTTTAAAGAAAGTTAACCTCTTTCAAGCTCAAGAACAATAACAATTGTGTTTAATTAAAAGTGGTCTCATGAGTTCACAGATACAGATACTTATGAGGAATAATCAAGATCTTTATTTACCTGACAGACAGAATTACCCCAGGTGTAATTTGATGAATCAATATTTTAACATAGGCAATCAATAGCTAGTACTATTAACTAATGCAACACCAGCAAACATGTTTTACACAATTATAATAAACAACACAGTTGTGCAGAGGCAATAAAAGATTTATTGTAGGCATATTTTGCACCATGTCAAAATACTATTAAAATACATTATAATGATTTTCTGGAATACAGGATTATGAAGAGTATTCTTCCCAGCAGCAAATCTAAGGATTCTGCACTTAGTGCCTCAGTATTATTAATGTGACAATTGAAATAAGTTTAAAATGTCAGTGTTTGTGCCTTATATTCTTTATCTTCATAACATAAATATTAGATTGAGCCAGCCAGTGATATGTAGATATGTGCTATTTATTAATATTAGGAGGTAAATACTATAAAAAGTAGTAAGATGAACAGATGAACTGTATGAGTTAATGCAGTCTTTCAGTAGCTCACTCTTTATTACAAGACCTTAATCATGCAAACAGTTTCACAGTGCAGGCCCTGGAGCTAATTTCACTTCCCAACAGACAGGCTGCTAATCTCTCACCTTCCATTTATACTTGAAAACTTTTAACATTTTCTTTCTGTTGGTATTTGCTTTTAAATTTAATGTAAATTATTTTTTTTCCAATTTGAGGCACTAATATTGTTAAAGAAAATATCCAGCTGTATTCATAATGTTATTTAGGTTGGTTGTACATTACTGTACATCGGTCATTTAACGGAGACCTGATTATTCCTGACACTTTTAAATGCCTTCAGTATCTGTTCTCTTATGTCTTTAGTTTTGAATCCATAAATAATTGGATGAAAACAACTGGGAAAAAGTAGATACATTATACTAATGAGAACACGGATGTTGGGAGAAAGTGAATTCCCTATTCTATATGAAAGCAATGCTACCATGACATATATGTAATTCAAGAATAAGACTATAATATGTGTAGTGCAGGTATGAATTGCTTTTCGAGAAGATTTTCCAGAGGCTTTAAAGAAGACAGAAATGAAAATTTTCACATAAGAAATAAAAACACACACCCAATCAAAAACTGTAATGAGAAAAATTATTAGGAGTCCAAAAATGTTGTTTATCAATGTGCTTCCACAAGCCAGTCCCACCAGAGCCATGTGCTCACAGAAGCAATGATCGATGATATTCGAGTTACAGTAAGACAGACTGCCATCAAGGAAAGCAACAACCACAAAGAAAATGGCACTTCTGAGAAGAGATGCGATTACAAATTTAAAACAATTAGGAGTGTTTATATAATCACTATAGTGCAATGGAATGCATATGGCGACATAGCGATCTATAGCCATCAGGAGGAGAATGGATGACTGGAATGAACCAGTGAAGTTAATGAAAAACATTTGGGTCAGACAACCTGTCAGAGAAATACCATCCCAGTTAAATAAAAAGCTTAACAACATTCTTGGCATAAAAGACATGGTCAGAAACAGGTTGACAACTGATGTGGCACCAATTAAAACACACATTGGAGAGTGTAAACTCCTTTGTGTCTTAATAACAAATATCAAAATCGAATTGGCCACAACAGACAAGGCAAACATCAGGAAGAAAGGGAAAAAAAGCAGCCATCTGTGTTCTTTAAGTCCTGAAAATCCAATTAAAAAAAATTCAGAGTGAGAAATATTTCCACCTTGGTATCTCTGCATGTTGATTTCCTGGAAATCGGAGAACACTTCTATTAATTACATTAATTATATTTAATTTAATCAAAATGAAAATATTGGTAAACATTGACTGTTGTATCACACACAGTTCTTTCTAGAATTACATAGGAATATACATTTTAAAAATCCAACTGTCATAACTTGAATCATTCTAAATCAATGGTTTTCTCCATGATTTTATCTGGAGCATATAAAGGTTTAGCAGAATATCAGTATGCATTCTGGTAAACTCAAGAATCAAAACCTTTGTTAATAGTATAATACTTACCAATTAATTGGTTATCAATTAGTATAATATATTATAATATTGACCATATTAACTTTAGTTACAAAATAACCAGATAATAGATATCATAGTGGAACACGCTGCCATCAGTGAGGTAATGCATTTTCCAATCACACTGCATCAGAAGTCACTGCAGATATGATGGTTTCTGGTGAGGTGTATATAAAAAAGGAAAAAAAAGAATAATCATATATTCTTCATATATCAGATAAATATAATAACCATAACATCAGTAACAATGAGCATAGTCAGAGTAACTCACTGTTTCATATGGACACCCTTCTCCTGTCTCTTGTTTTTGATCTTGCAAGAGCTGCTCTTAAATCTCTTTATCAAAGTCCCAGATGACGTGCCACCACACAGTTAAAAATAATTATTTGTAGTAATAAACAAGGTAGGAATTGTGAGGGTGACACAGCATGACATCTTGTGAAATTTCAGTGGGAGCAGAGGCCCACAGATCTTAATCAGTGCATTGAGAAATCCATTTTCATGAACAAAATCGAATACTCAGCATCTCTCACAGCCTTTTATGAGAGACATTTAGAGTATGTAAGAGGCTATGTTTTTTAAATACTGTACCAGCTTTGTGATTCAAAGATAAGACCCAAGCCTCAGCTTGCAGAGCATTGTGTTCTGAGTAATGACTAAGACAGCTGTGGCTCAAGATCTGTTTTGTCACTGATGAAACTCAGGTGAAGCACATCCTCTTTCAGAGGTCAGAAGCCTGCTGGCGGATCATTATAAACTCCCCAGCAGACAATTTCTATTGTAAATGTAGAGGATGTGCAGGACTTGTTTAGTAATTTTAAGACAATTGCTTTTTTTGTTGATTTAGATAGTTGTGGCTCGAAATCCCATTTTCATTTCTCATTGCAACCACACTCAACTGATGCGAATTCTGTGCCAGAGGTCATGAAGGCTTGTGTGTGGATCACAATAACCTCCTGGGCAGGGACAGAGTATTATAAACGTAGAGGCAAGAGAGGAAGATATATTTGATGCGTCTTAATTTATATATTTATCTGACATGCTTAGAACACATATTTTTCTACTCTCACTTCTTTACTTGAAATATCATGAGAATTAACGACGTTGCATAGCATCTCCTACTATTCAGGGTGCAGATATTGTGAGAGAGTGTTCTTATCCTTTTATGAAAGCAATGCTACCAATGCACAGACATAACTGAAGAACTAGACAATTAAATGGGAAGTAGTTCAGGTGGGTAGCTGCATCAGCATGCGTAGGCTGCAAAGGTGATGGTTTCTGTGATGGTTTTGTAGAGTCAATCAAAAATCAGAAATGAACATTTTGAAATAATAACACACATTGTTACACCGCAGAAACCCAGGGAGTAAGGCAGACAGGTTTCACAGATGTCTGCTCTTTATTGTGCATAACTCTTAACCGACACAGAACTGCAGAATCCTGCCAAGGCACCCAAGTGATATAAAGCGGTAACCCCCAAATCAAAAATGGGAGAATTTTTTGTATAATTTTTTCAAATTCGTCAATTTATCTTGATTTTTTATCCAAGCTAGTAGACACCTATGGTAGGGCCTACAGAAAGCTGTTTGGCAGGCATCCCCCCAAAAAAAAATTGAAGACAGAAAACAAAATCCGTGCTGTTTGTTTCTGTAGATTTTGTCTGCTGAGTGGACACATTAAGAGATAAAAGAAATTTGATTATTTACTCTTAATGCCAATGGGGTGAGCTTCAATTTAAGACTTAAACAAGGCTTCTGCTATGTTCCTGTCACACCCTCTGCAGCCAGAGGGCACTCATACTCTGTCCTGTCCCTTGTTTCCTGTGCTTTGCTGTCCTTCCGGTGTCTCTCTCTCTGGGGCTATATATTTCCAGGTCTCTAATTCACCTTGGCTCAGCATTGACGTTCGGATGTCTGAGACCCGCCTAGCACCAGGTCGCCGCTCCGTCCGTGGCCTGAAGGCATAGGTTTCTATATGGCATTTCCAGAACTCATTGCACTGCTGAGCCCGGGCTAAATCCCCTTTCTGCTGCTTCGCATCGGGTCTTTTTACACTCTCCTGCCATTCCACGGTTCGTCCCTTCCGACATCCGTGACAGTTCCGCTGAAGAGATATAACAAAAGGGGAGGAAATTCCAGGTTGAAACTGGCTCTGGGGGCCTGTATCAGTAAGGAGTAAATTACTGTGTCTGTTCCCTTATAGTACTCACAGAAAATCACAAAATAGTTGAAAGGTATGATCAGACTGAGATACACACTCACAAAAAATCATTTTGGCACACTTAATATTATCTACAGAAGCCCACATAACACGCTACCTATGATTTTGACAAAAAAAACAACAACAACAATTGTTTCATCTTGAAAAATAATTGTTTTCTGATTTTGATATACTGTACTGTAGATATTTCTGATTCCAGACATCTGTTATCTAAATAAAATGTTGCTGTTACATTTAATAAATAGTTAAATTTATTCTCTTCTTTGCAAATAATTGAAAAATAAAGGGCTTCATGTTTTCTGCACTGAATGAAAAGATTAGTTAAATTTGCACACCCATTCTTTAATGCCAAAACCCTTCTTAATTGCAGATAGTCGTTAATTTGTGTCCTTATTATCAAAATAAAACCATAATACAGAGTATAATACAAAAGTGCTTAGTTTATTTAAGTATGATAGAGCTATGATAGATAAAATGTATTTTTTTATGTGTAAAATGACCAGATATTTATCAGTCATTTAACAGTTTGCTTTTTCTTCACAGCTCTTGAATTCTGGTTTTCCTCTGACATTCTGCCTTCTGTGTTGCGTCTGCTAGTTCTCTTTATCCCTGCATAAGTGTTTTCGAGGAGCCCTGGTTTCCTAACACATTTTGAAAATGCTGTGCAGGTTGATTGATATCTCTTCACATGTGAGTGTGATGAGATCCACTGGAATCTCAGCCAGGGTACAGACCTGCTTTTTTGTGTTTTGCCAGATGTCTCAAAGCAGCCCTTTAAGTACAAAGTATTTAGTGAAAAATGGTAGTGGTAGCATTTAATGTCATCATGGAAATAATAGCTTCAAGTGTGACACAGATGATTTGGCTGTATGTAATAAATCCACAACTCTAAAGGAAGCACATACTGTATCTTAAACCATCGATTACAATGTACAAAAATTGTGAGCAAATTAAAATAAAGCTCAAGTTTGTTGTACAGTACCAGGTTGAAACAAGATTTAATCATGCTCAGTCACTGACTGTTGTAGAGCATAGAAAATGATCTGCCTGTTGTTTCTTGTTATTTAAATATTTCAACCTTTCAGCACTTCCTTTTTCCTGGAATGTGGTGTTTACTGGGTTACAGACTTGAAGGGGAAAAGAGGACTGATACAATTTACAAAGGAAACCCTTTAGTTTCCTTCTGCTGTATTCTAACATCCACCTTCAGTCCCCTGTGTTTTCCCCGGGTGACGCAGCGTCTGCTGGCTGGCTACTTCTGGCTGAGTTAATTAGCACACATGGGCCAGTGCAGAATTGTAATGCTTTGTTACATTAAGTGTAACAAATTGGCAAATCTTACCAAAATGGAGACTTGTGTAACTGATAAACACAAGATGAGTCACCAATACATTTAAGTAATACAGCATGTTACCAAATAACATGTGAACTGTGACAAAAGGTTCCTAAAAATGTGCAGAGGCTTACAGGACTAATGAATCTATTAACTATGAAATTTATTAAATGCACCTTTTGCTACGTTTATGAAAAACCTTTATTTGCAAGGTGGGTTTGAATGGCCTCTTGTCACATATTACCTACTGTATATCTGCGTTTTAAAAATTTGGCTTCTGAACTTTCACACATTTATGTACATTTTGTCTTGACACAACTTAAAAATGTCACTCAGAAATCTATATGTTTATCTGTTTATCTGTCTGTTACAGATGCCTGCCGATGTATGCAATTGAAGTGTGTGTGAGCAGTATGCTAGAAAGTGAGAGTAAGTGCCTTTTTTCTTTGCTATATTTGAGCTTGTTTGACATGTTTGCTTTTTCTTGTCTTTTTTAACTGTACTGGTCAGAGTTGGAATATCCTCCTGGAAATCTGACAACATTTTTAAAGGTCAAAACACAGGCACAGGCACAAAAGTTTAGTTGATGTATTAGTTACTATAGAAAATTAAGTGTAGAAATAACTACATTTATCCATGATTTATCTTCACATGTTGGAGTGTAAATGTTGCTCAAAACTGAGAGAAGATTATCTTTTGGGTTTTATATTAAGGGCTGGGCCATGTGGTTTTTAGATTGTTTTGAAATGATGAAGTGTTTTAGTTGCCACATTCCCACATCTAATGGAGGAGCACATTCACTGCCTTTAAAAATTAAGACAAGAGAATGGAGGTTCAGAGAACTAGTCAGGCTGCATCAGAGTCACCAGGCCAGACACCTGACTTGCTGGGTAGTAAGTCCAATACAAATGATCTGGTGCTAAAAGATCACACATACTTTACCCGAGCCTAATGGTGAATCATATCCAAACTCCGAATGGTAGATTCTTCAGGAGACAGACTTGTTGTAGTGATCATTTCTTTTTCTCCTACCAATAGCTCTGAGAAAAAATAGGCAGACATTGCACAGGCGAATGCTGAAGAAATATATAAAGAATTGCTGAGAATACAGAGTCTGAAGAGAGATTCTGTTGCTGAAAGAATGCAGGCTAA